TACATTAAAGTAGAGACTAACACAGCCTTTTTGGATACATTCTAACTTTCGACAATAGAGTGTAGAGATTCACTCTATTTCTCGTCGTTCTATATCCTTATCATAAATCCCTGCTAAATACACATCCCAAATACACAAACTCATGTACTTTCTCGACCACTCGACTCGTTTTACTTTCTTCTCTTTAAAAAACCATAACTATCGTCTTACTTGCGTTCAATTTTACGAATTACGGCATTTTTTTTAAATAAAAATGTTAATTTTTATTTAAAAAAAATACGAAAAGTTTTTTATTTTTTTATTAAAGATCTTGAAATAATCTATCACTCTTCCATTTACTATATCAGACATTTCTTCATAGACATTTAGATATTGATGAAATATAAAATATCCCTAGATTCTTAGGAGTTTCGAGTACTTTACAGCACCCATAGTCACGGGGGGGGGGGGGGGAACCATAGACAATACACTATATACTGAGGTGTTTGACATCCCAATGTCATAGTTAATCACGGCTACCTCCAGATTAAAAATTATTAGTTTTAAATTTTTTTTTGTAGATGTGAACAAAAGTCAATAAGTTATATTAGCGATAAAATCCGTAAAACTAGTTTTATTGAAATCAATTTTGTCTCATCAAAGGCGACTATGGTATATGCAGAAAAATCTCAAAACGAATAGAATAGAATGATTTTAATTCAATATAGGTTATTACATAATATATATATTTTTTGAAACATGTTTCACTTTACATATTTTTTTAATTTAATGCTTTCGTCAGATAGCTGTATAACCATTTTGTTTACATCAGACGTTAAATACCTAGACTGGCGACGGGCAGCAGCGTCAAAGGTACAAGACGTCTAGATCTGCGATCGCTAATACGTCTACCAAGAGCTGAAATTAAGGGAAATCCGCCCTACAGCGGTAGAGGTCAACACCCAGCAGTGAACTCTTACGGCTGGTGTAGAAGAAAGAGAAAATTCAATAAGATATTTAGGGTTGATCTCCAAATATGTGCTAGAGAGCTGTATTTTATTTATTCTTTATTGCACCAAATATTTGTACAAAAGGTGAGCTTAATGCTATATTGCATTCTCTACCAGCTAACCTTGGGTAGAACAGAGAGTGTTGATAGTTCGGAGCTATTCTATATATGCTGCTTTAACTTCGGAACTTTGTTAGTGCGATTTAGGCTTCGATGTATTTCGCTTGTGGCGCGACGACAGCGCCGCCACATCACCTTCCTGCTCAGACCGGAGGTCAATAGTGCAGTCTATATGTCGACGAATTTGCAAGTGCCAGGGAATTGCCTTGTAGTCTGCGGTGAGTCGAAAAGAAGGCAAGTAATCTGCGAGAGTGCCGTGAAGCAGAGGCGAGCAGTAAGGCTCAGAGCCGTGCCGAACACTGTAGCGCAGAGAGTAGCTTGAAGGAACAGGTAGCATTATTATTCCAGTGCTGCGATGAACCTTTGTAAAGCTAGATGGCTTGCAGAATGTGAAGACTGCAGACAATATCAGCTCGGGAGCGAATGAATGTGGTACTTGAGGATGATGAAGGTTTGAATGTGTAGTTTCCGAAGGTTTGTTGGTTGCGTGTTCATATCACGTCGGCTGGTCACCACTGTGGTTGGTGGAAGGAAGAAGGGGAGATCTCCCGCCGGGCAAGGTGTTCTGCCCGGGGAGCGGCCAACTCTCAAGTTGGTAGTTCGGATCTATTCTTTATATGCTGCTTTAACTTCGGAACTTTGTTAGCGCGATTTAGGCTTCGATGTATTTCGCTTGTGGCGCGACGACAGCGCCGCCACAAGTGAGTTTGGGCAGTTAAGTTGTCATGATATAATACAGTTCAAATATATACATGCAACACATACATAAAATATACACATATATATAATATATATATATAATTTATATACATATATTAATAAATACACATATTAATACATATATATCTCAATAAATGTATATAGAAATAACTATAAACATATAAAATAAATTGATTCAACTTTGTAGGCTACGGATATGCTCATATAGTTTTTTTTTTTAAATTTTTGGCAGGTATTGTTCGCAGGTCAACAGGCAATTTGTTCCAGAGGGTAATGGAAGTAACTGTGAAAGAATTCGACAAAGACCCAGAATGTTGGAGAGGAGTGGACAGGAATAAACTTTGTGAAGAACGGAGATTGAGAGAATGAGTGTCACTAAGGAATTGAAATCTTTCTTTTAGATAAAGGGGTGACGAAGGATCATTAAGAACTGAAAACAGAGTGGACAGGATTCGGTAATCTCTGTGCTGGCGCGTATTCAACCACTTTACCTGAGAGCGAAATTCTGAAACGTGATCATATTTGCGCAGGCCAAAGATGAATCGTATACAGTTGTGAAGTATCCTGTCCAACATGTTTAGCAGCTCCTGAGAAATATTAGTTAGACAAACATCGGCATAGTCAAATAATGGAAGAATTAGAGATTGGACGAGAAAACGTTTAGTTGAAGGAAGCAGAAAGAACTTAAGGCGATAGAAGGAACGAAGTATGCCTGTGACTTTACGACAAACCTCGGACACCTGTGATATCCAACCAAGAGACGGGTCGATAATTAAACCTAGATACTTGACACTATTTCTGAAGGGTATAACGCAGTTTTCACAGTAAATGGATGGTAGTTAAGATATGTTAAGTTGTGACGCCAATCGACGACTACCAATGACGATAGCCTGGCATTTATTGGGATTTGCATTTTACAATTGTAAGTCACGATTAATAGCTGCGATAGCAGAATCAATTTCAGTCAAGGACGCTTGTGAATATAACTGGAGATCGTCAGCATAGAGGTGGTAAGAACATTGAAGGTGGGTAGTTAGAAGATTGATAAACACTGAAAACAAGAGAGGAGAAACAATGCCGCCTTGCAGTACACCTAGAGACAGATCGCACCAGTCGGAAAAATCTTGACCAGACCGAACAGCCTGCTGGCGACCGCGAAGATAAGAGGAAAACCAGTTCAGTGCTGACGAGGCGAAATTTAGTCGTGAAAGTAATTCAAGGAGTATGACGTGATCGACACAATTGAATGCGTTTGAAAAGTCAATAAGGATAAGAATAGTCAAAGATGACGTCTCCTTGTCATCTTTAAAGTCTTCTGTAACTTGAAGTAATGCTGTGGTAGTACTGTGTCCCGGGCGGAAGCCAGATTGATATATACTAAGGAAATTGCATTTTGAAATGAAAGAGGTGACTTGTTAAAACAAGTACTAAAGTACCAGTGATTCAAGTGCTTTAGAAAGAAACAGCAGTATAGAAATAGGTCTAAAATGGGAAGAAAGCAATGGATTAGTTATTAGTATCTGGATTACTTATTCCCAAATAGGTTTAGGTATAAAGACATTTATTCTCATAAAGACATAATATACGCCACTTATATGAGAACATAATTAAAGGAAATCTAAATAACAAAATTCGTTGTCGTACCTATGTTGTTGAAAAATAAACAACATCAAAAACAGCTATCGACGAGAAAAATCTACAAATAAAGAAAAGTTATAAAATGACAACAGTCACTCACAAATTCTGGGATTCATTATCACCTTACAAACAAACCCGTCCAACGCACTCAGATAAATATGTTTGTGTTTATATGATTTCCTAGGTTTTATACATTGAATACATTGAACGAGTCTACATTTTTTATTACCGATGGTATATTATTATTAAGGCCTTACCTTACCTTACCTTCGCATGTAAATGTGGTCTGGCCGTACTAAATACTCAAATGCTGCTCAATTTTACCATGCCGTTAAGTCTCGTGCTGTCTCTATCATTTTAAGTCAATGTGACTGTGATATCACGAGACTTAACGACATCTAAAAATTGTGTAACGTTTGAGTATTTGCCCATTGGACAATCAAAGTCAAAAGCAAAAATATTTTATTGAGTTCGGGCTTATTCTATGTTCTTATTTGAACGACAAAGTCTACCGACGTAAGAAACACTGGGATCGTTGTTTTTCTTCTTTTTTTTTAAACAAGTGATTTGTAACTTAGACCACCACTAATACAGCCGATTATCAGACGCATAATATTCAGGGTCATCATAATACTTTTACATTAAACATGAGCCTATAGTCAATTATATATAATATTACTAAGTGAGATGGTCCCTTTTGCTGCTAGGATTTGCCTGGGTTGGTATCATCACCCTTTTGCCTATTTATGCCGCCAAGCGGCAGCGTACTCAGAGTTGTTTTACAGTTTGAAGGGTAAGAGAGAATAGGCTATATTAGTAGTATAGTTGTAGCACAAATGGGTCGGCTCGACCGAGGAAGGACCACGCTCTCACAGAATACCAGCGTAAAATGGACCTATTTTACTGGAAAAGAGGCATTCCATCTTAGTCCTCAAGAGTGGCGACGCATCTGCATTTTGATCCTTTATTGAGGATAAATATAGATGTCTATGGGTAACAGCAACCACTTACCATTAGGTAGACTGTGTGCTCGTTTGTAACCCTATTCTATAAAAAATACATACAATTATGGGCTATGTCGCATTTCATGTTAGTCCTTAAAGGATGACATCATATTTGTTTAAGTGGCCTTTTTGGATAAAATTTATTTATTACAAGATCCTTTAATAGTTTATAATAGTCACTTACCATCACTAATTAATTGTCAAATTCTCATTCACGATAAAATCCTTAAAGAAAATTTGTACTTCTGTCAAAGTGGATTGTAGAAAGAACCAGTTTACTGTGTATACTTTAATAAAAGTTAGGTAAATGTGTTTAAGTCTGAACGAATAATAAAACGTAAAATTTAATTAAGCTAAACCCAAGTATAAAAGGTCTCTATGGATACGCGAGAACTGTACTAACGAAATAATAAACGATGTTTTTAGTTCCAAAGTAAGTTAATTGCAGTTGGTTCCATAGCTACCCATTCACAAGGCCTATGAATGCGACAGAACAAGCAGAAGTTCTAAAATTTTTAATTATTTTGCAGGCGGCGCTAACTTCGTCAACCCTTACGCAAACGACGATCGCGTTGATCTCAGTCAAGTATGGGTGGATATACCGAGCACACTTGTAGCCTTGGGAGGGGATGTACACGTCAACGTACGAGGAGCTCTCGGTGCTGGCAGCTTAAAAGTACGCCTCGCCCGAGAAGACGACGATGGTAGAGCGTTATTAGCAACGATGCCTTTAGCTTTAGATGCAGAAAGCCGAATGACTCTTCCATGTGGATATTTCTCAAGAGGAGGCATTTACTATTTGGAAATAATTGCCGACAAAGAACATTTCTTATCTGAAGATTACGATACAAACAATACGGATAGATTTAATGAAGTAGACTCCAATAAAGTAAAAAGAGAAATTGATGGAAGGATGATGGAGACAGGAGATAGTTTGATCAAATCTTGGAAATTTGACGTGCTTTGGCCAACTGCGAATTTGGACGTGACGCCTGAACAAATTCAAACGTATCCAGAAAGGCAGGTGACGGCAATATTGGAATTTCCGAAGGTGGTGTGCACGCCGCTGGAGTCGAGTGCCGATTTCTGGTTGGAGTTACTATACTGCGGTCATTCAAGCGGAGGCGCTGTCTTATGCGATGGCAAGAATACTAGCTCCCACGCCCATGTCCTATATTCTGAACAGGTAATGGTTTTATACCTAAAAATTGTAAATTTCTTAATTTATTTATTTTTAATTTTTTACGTACGTATGTGTTACGCAATTATTTAAAAAACATTTCCAGTTAAAAAATATATGATACTCTTATTTTCTGCCAGTATCTCATAATTTGCTTCCATTACTTAAATGTTGGCTTTACCGCTCGCTATCTTCTGCTTTTCAAATATTACAAGAGTATATTTTCTTCTTTCTGTATTTAGATGCACGGCTTCCCTGGTCGTCGTACCATGACGCTTCGCTGCGAACTTTTTGGTCAAGCTGGTGACTACGCATTGACCTTGAGGCCGGCTGCTGCAGCTGGACCTCAAGATCTTGCTTCTGCTTTTATAAAGGTCAGTATGAAGACTGTTTATATTTCAGTAGATATTATCATCATTATTACAGTTCCACTTCTGAATATAGGCCTGCCCCATAAACTGCCTCATGGAGGTATATTGCCGTGGCTTAATGCGGGTTGGTAACCACAGTTATGTTTATTAATTTCTATTGTTAGGCATCAGAAAGATGCTGCTCCTGTATCACTTTCTCTCTTTCTGTCGCCATTTGCAATACCCATGAGATGATATGGAGTAGTGGATATTCTTATACCACCACAACACAGAAGTGCCTTCTTAAAGTACACATAATCATAGCTTGCTTTTAAATAATCTAAAGGTGCCTTACATTAATATGTACTTGTATATACTTTAATATGTGCAGTTCAAATCCGAAAAGGAGCTAGCCATAATGTATTTCAATCTCAAAGAAATTAAACGCTGAAAAGTACAACGTACAAACTCCAGCTTAACTCGACTGAGTTGAAAACATTAAGTGCACTGAGCAACAGTTTCCCGAGGGCTCTTGTTCCCATCTCGTTGCATGATACGCTTTCGGAATTGAAATTTTTCGAGTGCAGTCTAGAACTGTTTTAAAAAAGTTTATTGTAGACGAGGCAACAATTTTGCGACACTTAGCTGCAATAACTCAAATGTTTGTTTTATGTTCTAGATTTAAATAACTGGGCGAACTCGTGGTGTATGCAAATTAGGACATTATTTCTTTTCTATGTTTCCATTTATGAACTTTTTTAATTTTATAATATTGTTGTGACAAAGAGCTTACAGTAGACCTGATGGTAAGTGACTATTGGGAGAAAAAGGTAAGAGAGACAAACTCCTAGACTGAAAGGAAGTTCTCTTCATCATCATTCATCATAACAGCCCTTCCCAAGTCCACTGCTGCACATAGGCCTCCCCCAAATGCCACAAAGCACGTTCCCGAGCCACCTGCATCTATTGACTTGCTGCATGTCTTACCAGATCGTCACTCCATCTAGTGGGGATACGTCCTACACTTCGCCTGCCGGTATAAGGCTGCCACTCGAGAACCTTTCTTCCCCATCGGTTTTCGGTTCTTCGAGCTATATGGCCGGCCCATTGCTACTTCAGCTTACTAATCCTTTGGGCTATGTCGGTTACTCTGGTTCTACTGCGGATATCCTTATTTCTTCTTCACGCATAGAAACCCCGAGCATAGCCCTCTCTATAGCTCGCTGAGCGACCTTGAGCTTCCTTATACGGCAAGCAGTGAAGGACCACGTCTCAGACCCATAGGCCATCACTGGCAACTCGCACTGGTTGTACAATCTACTTTTGAGGTTTCGAGGTGTGCCTGATAAGAAGATGTGTCGTAATCTCCCGAACACTGTCCAACCGAGTCGAATCCGTCGATTAAACTCTCGGTCGAAGTTGGCTTTACCTAGTGGGACTATTTGTCCCAGGTAAATATATTCGTCAACAACGTATTTTTTAATAAATTGATAAGATATTCAAGATAATATGTCAAACTGCTGGGCACAGGATAGGCAAATAAGTGGCCGGCGAGATGCCCTAATCCACACGTCTTTGCAAAAAAAAAATTTGAAGACCTTTTAAGTCCACCTTTCAATTTTTTTTAATCTTTTCGATTTAATATATTTTATTATTATAATTGGGCATTGACAAACGGCGTGATTTTACGAAGTAGAACAATGCTGCAACCATATGACGGCTCCGTGGCGCTGTGGCTTAGCAATGAGTTGTTGCGCTGTGGGTCACGGGTTCGAATCCCGCACGGAACAAGTATTTGTATGGCCTACAAATAATTGTTCCGGGTCTGGATGTTAGATACAGGAGAAAATATAGTGTGAGGGCAACGTTTTTAAAAATAACAGAAATAGAATATAATACTTGTAACATATAAAGTAGCAGGAGGTTGTGGCAGATGCATTTATATTTTATATTATTTATAATTGGTGTATGGCCACAACGTCTTTTAATGTATATTCGTTACCATCTAAGTAACTAATACGGCAGTAACTGTCGTAAAAATTTTATAAGATAATTTATCAAACAAAAGTTAAAATTTTTTGGATCTTTATGTAATGTAACTATTCTCTTAACTGCTACACCGTAGAGCTTATACGTAATAGAGGCATGCTCCAGCTATATTATGGTTGTAGCACGAATGGGTCGGCTTGATCGGGAAAGGACTACGTTCTCACAGAATACCAGCGTAAAATAGGCCTTATATCTCGAAACGAGACATTCCTAAGATGAAACTCTCGGGGGTGACAACGCATCTACATTTTGATTATTAATCAAGGATTGTACATGCCTATGGGCCACAACATCCACTTACCATCATGTGGACTATATACTCGTGTGTTATATTCTTAAAAAAAAAGCGGAATCGAACCAAGAACTTTGCTTTCGAACCGACATATCAACCTACCAACTAGACTTCAAATGTAATAATATACAAGTATAATTTATATTACATTCATTATTGATCATGTAATGGGGACAGTGGAAGCATTTGCAAGTTGTGTTGGAATTAAGTCTACAGTGAGGGTTCTTGAAATCGCCAATAAAGCTTTTGACCTAGCTTGGTGACATGCATCACTTAATGACTCTAGAACATCTGCTCGACATGGTTTTCGAGGAAATACAAATTAATTATTTTACATGAACAGAGAATTAAAAAAAACATATTGTTTTATTTTAACTACATATAAGTTACGGTATACGATGATGTGCCGTGTAGTGGCGGTCAAGAATATCCACTACCCCAAATCCTCCCGTGGGTGTCGTAAAAGGCGACAAAGGGAAACAGCCAGGAGATGGGCAGCAGCATCTTCCTGATAATAGCCAAATTACAATAAAAAAAACTGCGGTTGCCAACCCGCTCGCCAAGCGTGGCAACTATGGCAAATACCCCCCAATGATGAGAGCAACAAAAAAACGGCCCCCAGTCCCCGGCGGCCCCGCTATTCCTGGCTACGGTGGCGACCATGGTAACGGCGGGGCAGGGGGTGCTAAGAATCTCCGGTGGAGGTTCGGTTGCCACCTTAGACGACTCGACCTGGCAACGTACAACGCACGCACCCTGAGGACTGACGAGAAGATCGTGGAGCTGGAAGAAGAGATAGACAAGATGCGCTGGCATATTATAGGATTATCCGAAGTCCGAAGAGAGGGGGAGGACACGGTAATCCTCGAATCCGGCAACTTGCTCTATCACCGGGAGGGCGACCATCTGTCCCAAGGAGGTGTCGGATTTATCGTCCACAAGTCTCTCGTTAACAACGTTGTAAAAATCGGGAGTGTGTCGACGAGGGTTGCGTACCTTATACTCAGAATCACCAAACGGTATTCGCTGAAGGTCATACAGGTTTACGCACCAACCTCGGCACACCCCGATGAGGAGGTGGAGGAAATGTATGAGGATATCTCTAGAGCCATGCATTCCTCCAAAACCCAATATACGGTGTTAATGGGAGACTTCAATGCAAAACTAGGCACAAGAGAGAACGGTGAGCTGAAAGTAGGGAAATTTGGAATAGGGCAACGGAACCCAAGGGGCCAGCAGCTGGCCGACTTCATGGAGAAAGAGGGACTCTTTATGATGAACTCTTTCTTCCAGAAGCGGCCCCACAGGAAGTGGACCTGGTCGAGCCCCGACGGTTCCACAAAAAATGAGATTGACTTCATTATGACGACCAGACGACAACTGTTCAGTGATGTCTCCGTGATCGCGAGGGTGAAAACTGGTAGCGATCACCGAATGGTTAGAGGCACACTGAACCTAAACGTTAAGTTGGAGAGGTCTCGTCTAATGAAGTCAACGCTCCGTCCCCCTCGTGCTCTGTTCCAAAGTCCCGAAACCTTTCAGCTCGAGTTACAAAACCGTTTTCAGTGCCTGGAAGACTGCAATGAAGTGGACGATATGAATGACAAGCTCGTGGAAACTGTCCATGCGGTTGGAGCTAAGTTCTGCAAGACCCGCCGCAGAAGAACACAAAAACTCTCCGATCACACTCTTAATCTCATGGCTGTTAGACGGGAGATGAAGCTACATTCTTCAACAGACTTGACAGCATACAGGCATCTGAACAGACAGATTTCCAAATGCATGCGGCGGGACTTACGCAACTTCAATACAGCTCGTATTGAAGAAGCGATCGAGCGGAACCAAGGCTCCAAAGTCTTTGCCAGAGATCTGTCTGCCAGAAAGAGCCAACTGTCAAAGCTGAAGACAGAGTGTGGCAGCATCGTTTCCGGGACACTTGAGATTTTGAGTGAGATTGAGAGGTTCTATGGGCAGCTGTACACATCATCGTTGGAGCCACACGCAAGTGTGAGTAACGATCCAAGAGCGAGTCTCATCCGACACTATTCCGAAGATATCCCGGATGTCAGTCTGAGCGAGATTAGTATGGCTCTCCAGCACCTTAAAAACGGTAAGGCCCCAGGCGAGGATGGAATTACAGCGGAGCTTCTGAAAGCGGGTGGAAGACCGGTACTTGAAGTCCTTCAGAAGCTCTTTAATTCCGTCCTCCATGGTGGCATTACACCGGAGGCGTGGAGCAGAAGTGCGGTGGTCTTGTTCTTCAAGAAAGGTGACAACGCTCTCTTGAAGAACTACAGACCGATTTCCCTTCTGAGCCGCGTCTACGTGCTGTTTTCGAGAGTCATTACGAATCGTCTCGCGCGCAGACTTGACGACTTCCAGCCTCCCGAACAAGCCGGTTTCCGAAAGGGCTTTAGCACCATAGACCACATACATACCCTTCGGCAAGTTGTACAGAAGTCCGAAGAGTACAATTTGCCACTATGTCTGGCGTATGTGGACTATGAGAAAGCCTTTGATTCCGTCGAAATTTGGGCGGTGCTGCAGTCCCTTCAGCGGTGCCAAGTTGACTGTCGGTATATCGAAGTGTTGAAGTGCTTGTACAGTAGGGCTACGATGGCTATCCGAGTACAGAACCAGAGTACGAAACCTATCCAATTGCAGAGAGGTGTAAGACAGGGTGACGTCATATCCCCGAAACTCTTCACCGCTGCATTGGAAGACGTTTTCAAGCTTCTGGACTGGAAAGGATACGGTATCAACATCAATGGCGAGTACATCACTCACCTTCGATTTGCCGACGATATAGTCCTTATGGCAGAATCGCTGGAGGACCTAAGCACTATGCTCAATGACCTCAATAGTGTTTCCCAACGGATAGGTCTTAAGATGAACATGGACAAAACTAAGATCATGTTTAATGTCCATGTCACACCTATGCCGGTAGTTGTTGGGAACACTAAGCTCGAAGTTGTTGACGAGTATGTTTACCTGGGACAAATAGTCCGACTGGGTAAGTCCAACTTCGACCGAGAGGTCAATCGACGGATTCAACTCGGCTGGGCAGCGTTCGGGAAGCTACGACACATCTTCTCGTCAGACATACCTCAAAACCTTAAAACGAAATTGTACAACCAGTGCGTGTTGCCAGTGATGACTTACGGAACTGAGACGTGGTCCTTCACTGCTGGCCGTATGAGGAAGCTCAAGGTCGCTCAGCGAGCTATGGAGAGGGCTATGCTCGGAGTTTCTCTGCGTGATAAACTTAGGAATGAGGATATCCGCAGTAGAACCAGAGTGACCGACATTGCCCAACGGATTAGTAAGCTGAAGTGGCAGTGGGCCGGCCATATAGCTCGAAGAACCGACAACCGATGGGGAAGAAAGGTTCTCGAGTGGCAGCCTCGTACCGGTAGGCGAAGTGTAGGGTGTCCCCCCACGAGATGGAGTGACGACCTGGTAAGACATGCAGGAAGTAGATGTATGCAGGTGGCTCAGGACCGTGTTTTGTGGCATTCTTTGGGGGAGGCCTATGTTCAGCAGTGGACTTGTGAAGGGCTGTAATGATGATGATGATGATGACGATACGATGAAGCAAGTTTTGCGTCATTTAACCACATTTAGAGGTTTAGAGGTTTAAAGGTGTATTCAAGGTGGGTAGGTCACCTTAGAGGCGAATCGATTTATAATTAGTGCTTCAAATCTGGAATCTTGCTTTAGTTTAAAAGAAGCCATACCTTTTATATGAAACTCGCATCTATAACCCGACCAAATTAAGTATCAACATAGACTAATTCAGGACTAATAAGTGTGAATTAGGACGCTTTAAAATTTAAAGCTGAAGTCTGTAACGGCAAGCTGTAGTGGGCTATATGTTCCTACGTGGTAGAGAACTATAGAAATAGTTTATGTATCTTAAAATTGTAATGGAAAAGCGGAGTCGGAGATGTATACTTGAAGATATACTTAAAACGACACCCTAGCCTAGATTATGTAGGTAGGTAGCCTAGGTTGTCATTATCTATTTGAGTTTAAGATACTGAATAAAAAAATGTAAGCTAATTTTTGAAATATATTTAGGTATTTTCATTTCTTAAAATACCATGTTATTTTTTCAAGAGTCAATAATCGCAGAAATAAACCATATTTTATATAATACTAGCTGAACAGACAGACGTCGTTCTGCCCTTTCCGACGACCATTTGCTTTCCTAAAAAAAACTCCTTAAATTAGCAATAAAAAATTGAGGGTAACTTATCAGGATAAAAACTATCCTATCTCTCAAGTTGGACCAAAATGCACACAGTGTGCAAAATTTGATTGAAATCAGTTCAGTAGTTTAGGAGTCCATCGCGGACAAACAAGTGACACGTAATTTTTATTACTAAATTGATTTATTTCAAAATAATGTAGAAAAATACGTTATCTATGGATTTACATCACAGAACACTACATTTACACAGATACAAGTTATCAACTGCGCTGAGCTATTGACTTTCACTGAGCTTAGTATAATGACAGATTCAGCCGTTTAACACTTGTCAACACGTGGCCACGGATACTTTGAAGTGCTCGTAACTCAGGGAATTTAAAATAAATTAAAGGAAAGCTTTTACAAACATTTACTTCGCAAATATCCGCGTTATAAAATAAAATGATGTGTCTTACCTAGTATGAAGAGCACCTCCCGCCCTCCCTCAATTGCGTGCACTATCCCCGTCACCACTAATCCCAGCACCGCTACTCCCAATACCACTACACTAGGCAAGACACACCACTGACGATAATACGACACGTGTTCTCGTCAGTGGTGTGTCTCGTCAGACTCTACGGTAGCTAACCGCTAAGACACTTACTTAGCGGTTAGCCACCGTAGAGTCTATATCACCTGTGGATGCCTCGTGTAGAGGCGAAACACGTGTCGTATTACGTGGTGTGGTGACGGGGATAGTGCACGCAATTGAGGGAGGGCGGGAGGTGCTCTTCATACTAGGTAAGACACATCATTTTATTTTATAACGCGGATATTTGCGAAGTAAATTTTTGTAAAAGCTTTTCTTTTATTTAATAGATTTCCGCAAAGTAACGCCTGATTCTATTGATTATATTAAAATAAATTGTAAAGTGACGACATCCTTTATCGTTTTTTTTTACTTTATAGTAAGAGTGACAAACGACCGCTGGATCCTCCTGATGTACATCTACATTAATCATTATTAAGAATCAAAAGGCTGATTAATAAGTACATTAGCTGTTTGATAATGCCGTGTTTCGTACGGTGAGTGTAAAGAACCGGATACTCTTTCTACTGGTAACGAGACATTTTTTTTTATAGATTAGGGTGACAAACGAGCACACAGTCCACCTGGTTGTAAGTGGTTGCTGTGGCCCGTAGACATCTACATTTATCCGCAATAAATAATCAAAATGCAGATGCGTTCTCACTCGTGAGGACTAAGATGGAATGTCTCTTTTCCAGTAAAATGGGTCTCCGGTTCTCTACACTCACCATACGAAACCCAGCAGCGTTAAGCTGCTATTTTACGCTGGTATTCTGTGAGAGTGTGGTCCTTCCCCGTTCGAGCCGATCCATTCGTGATACAACTATACTATTAATATGGCTGCAGCATGGCTCTACCACGTAAAAAAAGTTCTGAAAGATAAATTCTCATCTTATCTATATTATTTTAATCAAGGATAGAAGTAGATGTCTCTAGACCACGGTATCCACTTACCATCGTTGGACTGTGTACTTACCCTTACTAAAAAGAAAATGAGTCACTTCTCACAACAAAAATCAATATCATGCTGCTACTTCACTTTGGTATCTGTGCAAGCCAAATAATATATTTTTTAATTCACCAAACGTGATGATCAAGCCGACCTTTTCGTGCTGCTCTCGTAATTCTTTACAGCGTGGCGATATATCGTGATATTATGAAATATAGTATCAAACGATAACACAGTCCACTTAATAGACCTAATAGAGTAGATAGAAAATAATTCCTGTAGCCCATAGACACTTACTTCTATCCTCAAATAGAAATCAAAATGCAGATGCCTTGTGACCACTGAGGGCTAAGATCTCTTTTCTAGTAAAAAGGTCTCCAGTTCTCTTCAATCACCGTTCGAAACGCAGCAGCATTAAGCTAATAATGTACGCTGGTATTCCGTAAGCCGTGGTCCTTTTACCGGTTGAGTGGTAACCCATTCGTGCTACAGTCTAGAATAGCTGCAGCTTCACTACCTATAAAAATCACGTAAGGTAATATTCGCGTAAATATAACAAACCTTCATATGTTTTTCGCTTCTTCCTTCAGGCGGACTGGTCAGAGCAATTCGTGCTAAACGTCCACGGAGGTTCGGTGTTTCCGTGTGGCGACGGGGTACGAGTTCTCTTCCAGTACCCTGAGTGCGTACTGGAGAGGGCCGATAGAGTCAGAGTGTTTGGGAGGGACTCTGATCGGCTGCGTTATGTGGCCGAGAGACGTGTAAGAAGGTAAGAGACTGTTAGAGACGAGTTGTTATATATTAAAAATAGTGGTGAAGAAACATGGCTAGAAAGACGTAGATTATGTTGGAAAAACTACGCTCAACCTAGGCCAACTTCTTTCTTATCAGCCTGTAGAGTACCACTACTGGACGTGTTCTCTCTCTCTCTCTTTGTAAGGGGGGATAATCGCAAGGTAAGTTACGTCAAATGCCAGCATCGCCTAGTGGTGAGCCGATTTTCATTACGACTTTGAGGCTGAACGACTGTCACTCGAGTACCTTTCTTTCCCATTGGATGTGAGTTCTCCGACAGGAACTGTTGGTTTACTAATCCGTTAGTAGATGGTTATTTGTAACTATTTTAATATTTAACTAGGGGCCAGCACACCGCCTCGTTCGACTGCCGGCTGTTCAGCGAGAGGTACCCGGAGTACTGCTTCGTGTATGTCTCTCAAGCTGTCACTGGCGCGGTGGCCGATGTCAGGATGGACTGTCTGCCTACTCTGCCATTATCAGGTACGGATATTATATAATGTATTTAAGACCACTTATATTCACGTATGACTTGTATATAATATTCACTTTTTATAGGATAAAGGTGACAAGCGACAAGCATACAGTCCACCTGATAGTAAGTCTACATCTATATTCGATTACGAATCAAAACCCGTTGTCACCCGTGAGGACTAAGATGGAATGCCCAGTTTCACAGCAGCGTTAAGCTGCTATTTTACACTGGTATTATGTGAGAGCGTGGTCCTTCCCCGGTCGAGCCGACCCATTCTTGCTACAACTATAGCACTAATAGTTGCATCATGGCTCTACCACGTTAAAAACTTATTGGTTCCATTTACAAAACCGTCTCGATTGTTATAGTGTTCTTACCCAATACCCATCTTTATAAACCAGGTTTGAAATTGCGGCTTTAAAGAAAAGCGTATATATACCTACGTTTTTTTTGGAAATATAAAAATATATTTCAAATATTTTACATAATATAAACAACATTTCTAACAGGAGGAAGACGTGCCTCTTATACCACCTTTTAATTGTAATTTATGTACGTGTAAGGGGACATACATGGAACAATATTTTTGCAGAGTCCACCTGATTGTAAGCAGAGCTGTAGCCCATAGAAATCTACATCTATTATTGACTAAAAATCATAAAGTTGTCTAGTTCTGAACACTACTCATAAATTTATTATTTAATGTTGGTATGTCAACTGACCTTCAAAAAAGCTTCTTGTAATTTCATTAAATGTATTTGAATACCAGCGTAAAATACCAGCTTAATGCTGCTGTGTTTCGTATGGTGAGTGTAGAGAACCAGAGACCCTTTTTACTGGAAACAAGGCATTCTATCTTAGTCCTCACGGCTGACAACGCATCTGCATTTTAAGTCGCAAACGAAGATAGCTGTAGATGTCTATAGGCCACACTATTCACTTACCATCAGGTGGACTGTGTGCTCGTTTGTCACCCTATTTCTATAAAGAAAAAAAATATCCTATCAAGGCCCACTACCATAAGCCCGCACCATAAACTTCCTTAAAGGGCATTTTTTTACCATAGTACCACCGTTGGCTAGTGGGTTGCAACCACAGTTTTTTATTATTTTGATTTGTTATCAGAAAATATTGCTACCTATTTCCTGTGTCATTTTCCACTGTCGTCTCTTACCCAACCACGGTATGATATAGGGTAGTGGATTGTCTTACGCCGCCTCTACATGTCGAAAGTTTATTAATTATACTTTTATGTATAGAGCAAAAACAAAACTTAATTTTTTTAAATCTTAAAAAAAGTTATGAAAAGACAGAAGATATATGCACGTATACGCACACGCACACGCACATAAAGGTTTATATTTACACGTCTCTACGTAGGGACGTGTAAACATAAACCTTATTAGAGAATAGACAGATATACTCGTGAGGATACAGGGAACTTCTTAAAACAGAACAATATAAACACATTCAATATACAATACGTAATTTACGTATCTTATAAATGTTATTTTAATAAAAAAATATTTCATTCAGATGGCGGAGCTGGTGGGTGGGGGGAATGGTCAGCGTGGTCAGCATGCCCGGCGCCCGCACACTGCTCCACGCGCACGAGGAGCCGTCACCGCTTCTGCGACTCTCCACCACCAGCGTATGGTGCCAAGTATTGTGAGGTAAGTTTTGGTTATGTTTGTTATAAGCTAAATATGAGATTTTCATCCTTATCAAGCAATAAGACACGAACGGAGAGCCATCAGGCGCAGAACCAATGGCTTAACGTACTTTCTTCCCGACTCCAGGCTGCTTCCGAGTTTTTCCCGACAGAAAAACCTATTAACTGATTTTGTCCCGACCAGGGATTTGAAACCTGCACCTGATGATCAGCAATTGCGTTTACGACAGATTTGATATAATAGACCACAAATCACCGTAAATGTATACCGATTTTTATAAAGAATAATTCGCGAGGTTATTAAAAATCTATACATAATGTAGCTGGGTATTACCACCTGCTTCTAACCCTACAAATAATACAATAATTCAAAAACCGTACATAGCATACAATGGGTCCGTGGTAGTTAAAACTATATTATAATGATGAACATTAATAAAGAATAAATTTTTTTATGAGTCACACAATTTACAAGATAAATAGATACAGAGTGATGTAATTACTTCGACACAGCTGATTAAAATGGACCAAAATTAATCACAGTGAGACGGTGTGACGACTAGAATTTTGCATTGAATACTAGAATTTTGCATAGAGTGACAAAGCAAATTTATGTGGTAGAAGTGAACGGCAGGGTCGGGAAGGGACGCCCTAGACGAAGGTTTATCGACCAAATCGGCGATACATTAAAAATGGGCCAGATTAGGAGTACCCTTAACCGACGAGCGTGTATGCGTAGATATATGGATGTAAAAGAGGCGAGAGAGGTGTGTCAGGATCGCGCCAAATGGAAGTCCGTAGTCTCCGCCTACCCCTCTGGGTGACAGGCGTGAGTGTTTATGTATTATGTATGCATGTAATTTTGCATAGAATTTTGCATTGAATATCAATGTAAAATTCTAGTCAAACAACAACAAAACTAAAGAGAATTAAATATATAAGTATACTATAGAGCGGACATTATGAACATTTGCATACAAAAATGTTGAGCTCGCACGTGTGTGACGCTCTCTAGCTAAACATAGCAAAACTACGCTGAATATTTATTAGGAAAACATTTCAGCTATTCCCCAGTAGGTGACGCTAATAAATGGGAGGTAAAAACCCGTTTTAGGAATGTTACCATTTCGACATCAAAATATCGATAATGTTGTTGAATGTTACTTAGTTTGTAATGTTTTACCGTATAATACTCGTAATAGGGAATATGCATGCTTTTTTATTGTACAAATGTATTTTTAAGATTTTTATGACTCCTATCACACCAAAAAAATCATATAAACTTTTTAAGTTATGAATAACGTCATGAATAAAATGTTCAAAATCGTTATGAAATAAAATATTTAATTTCCAATAACTGAGAATTAATTTAAACAGCAGTCACATTGGTGGCATCTTGGATGACGTCATTATGTCCATAATACGCTATAATAATAGCATATGACTGGTCGGTTGGCGTCTAAGGCACATCGCAAAACGTCAAATCTAATAAGAGAGCGCCATCATGTTTTTCTAATTAGTTTCTTACACAAAAATACACTTTAAATCTAACATATTTTAGGAAAGCACTGAATTTAAAAGTCGTTACACGATAAATTATTTCACATATTCACAAGTTTGCGCGTTTACCACTAAAAAGAACACCTTTGTCGTATCTCCCCGATTTCAGAGCACTTCCCTTTTTATCGTAGCCAGTAGCGGAATCTTCGGCGTCAACATATCGAATGACCTGCAGAAGTATGGTCACTTGGAAGAGAAAGCTAAATTGGCTTCTAAAAAGCTTGGCGTACTCCGTAGAGCGGGACAGTATTTCTTTCTTGCACACCGTTTGCAACTTTACAAGCGCAGGTTCAGCCACACATGGAATATTGTTCTCATGTCTGGGCCGGGGCTCCCCGGAATAATTCCAATTCCAGAAAAATTCCAGAGCGAGCTCCTTCCTCTTGAGAACAGAGCGGTTCGACGTCGACGACCGAGTTGTCTTTGATTGGATCGATTCACTGGCACTGCGTAGAGATGTTGCATCTCTTTGCATTTTCTATCGTATGTACCACGGGGAGTGTTCTGAGGAATTGTTATGATTAATTCCAGCCACCAAATTTCACTAATACACATTGCGACAAAACTTAAGTTACCATCCACATCATTTGAATGCTTGGCGATCCACTACCGTGCGATTAAATAGGAGTTTTCTTAGGAATCGTTTACCATCAGCGATTTTTATAGACCGATAGGACTTCGGGACCTCTGCAATTCTCCTAGTGTTGTGGAATTATATTAAAAAATAAGGCTCTCTTGTTGACCGGTTGTACTGGTTGTACTAGCTGACATAGACGTGTCACGTTAAAACCAACGGCCGTGTGCCTCGATACAGGCCCACCCGATTTCTTTATTGGTATGGATACAGTATCGTTTACTGTTTCACCTCATTAAATATTGTAGATGATTAAATCTGCATCCTTGTATAATATTTGTTATCGATAACACCAATCGATAAACGTTGTCAATCACTAACTCATTTGGTTTGTTACTAAATAACAGAGGGAGCTTATTACAATGATGATAAATGTTCTATAGAACAATCTACTAGAAATAATTAAAATTAAAAATTATCGGGTAAATATACATTATACTTGCGATAATAAACCGAAATCACATTCAGTTTTTGTTACATATCGGGACTTACAATACCTTAATGCACTATCGGGCATATTTTCTCTAAAAATATTTTTTTTTAATTTAGGAAAGAAATGCGTTTTAAGCTTTTGACGATGTCACTAAGACTAAATGACACAAATCCAAAATATATCCTATAGCACATAAGTAAGACGTGACTATTTTGTTACTGATGTCCGGTCTATTACTACTACTACTTAAATGCTACTTAAATGTCTTTGAACATAACAAACGGCTTTCTAAAAAATTTTTTTGTGCCTGGTTTGCGAATTATTTAAAAAAAAACTTCACAATTTTATTTTCACATGACGTTTATCTAAAGGAGACGGTCCAAAATTGTATGAAGCGTGGCCCTAGTTTTGTACTAGTTTGGAAATAAATTAAAATAAAATATTAAAAAAAACTTTTGATCATTCAAATCCACGAATTTGCCTTGATTTCAGTACTTACTTACTTACTTATCTTCACGCACAATCCCTGACGGGGTAGCCAGAGAGAACAGATCGCCAAGTGTCACGATCCTTACAAACCTCTTTCGCTTCTTTCAGATTCATTATCTTCTTCATGCATGCACGTCTAGGTATCCGAGTACTTTTGACCCTACCCTCTTCGAGCAATTTGCTCACATGGTCTTCGAAAGTTAGTCTCGGTCTACCTCGACACCTTTTAATATTAACTTTCGCGCTATATATTTTCTTCACCATTCGGTCTTCACTCATTCGCTCAACGTGCCCAAACCACCGAAGCACGCCCTTATCAATTTTTGTGATAAGGTCATCTTTCAAACCTGCCATATTGCGAATCTCTTCGTTTCGCTTTCGGTCGGCCATGGTAACGCCGCACATTTTACGAAGAGATCGCATCTCCACTGCATTCAACTTACTTTTATGCTTCTTCTGGCATACCCAGGTTTCGCTGCCATATAACAAAGTCGGTACCAACACTGCGTTATGTATTGCAAGGCGTGCACTCTTCGCTACGCCTTGTCTTTTGACTAACGCAGTCAGGGCACCATTGACTTTGTTCCCGGCAGCGACACGCCTGTCCACATCTAAATCACATCTTCCATCCCGGCTAAAAGCACTCCCCAAGTATACAATTTCATTTACCTGTTCTAGACATTCCTGATTTACCCATATTTCACACTTCGTTCTCTCTTCGTCCCTTTCAAATACCAGAACCTTAGTTTTATTAGCATTCAAACGGAGACCTTTAATTTCACATTCCTCTTTCATACACGTGACTAATGCCTGCAGTTCTGCCTCTGATGGTGCAATAAGCACTGCATCATCAGCATACAGCAGACAATTTACTTTAATGTCACCCAATTTCACACCCAAACAACTATCTTTCAGCTTCTGTAAACAGCTGTCGAGATACAGTATGAACAGCCAGGAAGACATGACACAACCCTGCTTTACGCCCGTTTGGACGTCAAACATGGGTGACAGGTCATGCCCTACCCGCACACAGGCTTTACAGTCACAGTAAAGAGACTGCACAGCCCTTAGCAATCGACCATCCACACCATACCCCGGCAACAGTTCCCACATTTTCTTCCTTACAACCTTATCAAATGCTTTCTCAAGATCCACAAAAGCACAGAAAATCTTCTGGTTAGCAGCCAGAAGCTTTTCCGTGATCATGCGGAGAGAAAACATTTGATCCGTGCATCCTCTTCCAGGTCTAAATCCGCATTGTGCCTCCCATAGAAATCTTTCCGATTTCTCTTGCATCCTACGTGTCAAAACCTTCGAGTAAACTTTACTTGCTAAACTGGTCAAGCTGATCGCCCGATAGCACCCGCAGTCAAAATGTGAACCTTTACCTTTATATAAAGGCACAATGACTGCGGATCGCCAATCATCCGGGACATCCCCCGTCCGCCAGCACAAATTGCACAGCAGATGAAAGCTGTCCCAGACGCGAGGCCCACCATACTTGACCATTTCAGCAGTAACTCTGTCTAGTCCCGCAGCCTTACCACATTTCAAACTTCGAATCGCACGTTCAATCTCTTTCATACTGATGACCTCAGTGTCATCGAGGTCCGGGTCTGGCGTACCAGTCACGGCGTCATCCCCGGATCCCTCACTAAGATCATCATACGCATACATTTCTCTATAAAATTCGCTCCATCGCTGCATGACGTCCGATTTTTTTGAGAGGACGTCATTAGTTCTCGAAAGCACTTTGTTCATTCTTAAGGCTGTCGCACCACTCCGGGTCCTTCCAACCTCTTTCCAGAAGAGTTTGGAGTTCTCCTTAAAGTTGTGCGACAACCTTTCGTCCGCTTCCATTCTACACCTTTCACGCACTTCCTCAATCAATGCTTTCGTGTGAACTTTCTGCAGCCTATATCTTTCTTTCATCTTCTCTCTCATATCCTTATCATTACTAGAGGCCAAGTAGTCTAACCATGCTTTCTTCTTCTTTTTTACAGCTTCTTTCACTTCATCATTCCACCATGCATCTCTTCTTTTACTACTGCCTCTTTTTATTGTTCCACACACTTCTTCCGCTGCACTTACCATTCCATCTCTAAGGTTCTGCCAAGTTCTTTCTACACATTCTTTTCTGCCATCGATGGCGTCAAGCTTTTCGGCTACCCTCGCATGATATTTGTCCCTAGTATCCGCTTCCTGAAGCTTCCAGCTTCGGATGCGACAGACCGACCGTGGTTCTGTTACTGCCGTCCGGTAGCGCCAACCCGCGAACAGACCCCTAAATCTAGTAATCACTAGATAGTGATCCGTTCCCAGGTCAGCACCCCTGAACACTCGCGTATCCATCACCTGTTTTCGCAGTCGGTCATCCACCAGGAACAAATCAATCATACTTCTCTCATTCTTTCGTTCTCTAGTATACATATGGATTTTCTTGTGATTAAACATAGTGTTTGTCACAAGAAGACCCTTTTCCTTGCACACCGCCAGTATAAGCTTGCCAGCATCATTAACCCTTTTATCGCCAAACTTTCCAAGTACCGACTCGTACCCTGGTCGAGCGGTACCAACCCATCCATTCAAATCACCACATACAACAATTCTTTCGTTTCCCCTAGCCAAATCTAGAACTTCTCTTACATTCTCCCAAAACTCCTCCAGCTCAGCCCTGGACGACGAAGCTACCGGCGCATAAACAGCCAAAAGGAATAACTTCGTCAGTCCCAATTTAAAGCGAACCCAGAGAAGTCTTGAGTTCACAACCTTATATTCAGTCATAACATCGACCAACCGAGAAGACAGCAGCACCCCCACTCCCTGGCAGGCGTTCTCGCTCTCCGGGACTCCTGACCATAGAGCTAACGCCCCGCCAGGGAGTTCTTCAGTACCACTGCCCTTCCGTTTGGTCTCCGACATACACACGACATCTAATTCTCTTTCTTTCATTATTTCGATCAACTCATTCGTCTTATCTCTCATGCCTCCTCTAACATTCCACGTGCCAACTCTGCACTCTGTCCTCCACCTTCCGCCGTGTCGCGCTTAATTTCAGTGGTATTAATATTTTATTCTTACCAAAAAATGCAACACTAATGGCGAATTGATTTCGTTTCGATTTGACGTTAGCTGTCAACACTGTAATATACCCTTATCACCGATAGCCTTCAGCCCAGCCCATCAGGTAGATTTATTATGTATAATAGCCAAATAACAGTTTTTTTACACCTACTACGAGTATCACGTTGCTAATATTGGAGAAAGCGATAAATCAAACTGTTTTAAAAACTGCTAAAAACAGCTTTTTCATAATGTTATTTATTTTTAAAAACACATGCTTGAGTGTCATGGAACACTCATTTGGAACGAAGTTCTTTTCGTAGTATATTATTATTGATATACGTATTATATTATTGATTAACAAAAACAATGAATTACTAGAATCTACTAAAATGAAGCGTTATTTAAAATAAAATAATATTTCTTTCATGGCATGATAAGAAAAAGTGCGAGGGAGATGTATATTATTCCATCTCGCTTCCTTATAGCCACCAAGGCTACTACGTCAGAAGGGGTCATGATGTAACGGAAAAAACTTACATTTTTTGTCGCCTAGCCCCCATACGCCAAATTCGTACCGTCCGATAAGGAACTTAGATCCAAAAATTATTTTAAAAAGTAATAGGCTACTTCAAATTACTAAAATATTCTTCACGTAATAGCTTCTGATTTCGGGTTTTTAATTCTTAAATGCTTTGTCTTAGTTTGACTTAGGAAACTTTTGATATTTTGAACTTTTTGAATGAACTAAGGAAGATTTTATGGTCAAGGTAACCACTAGAATTATCTCTGTTAATAGTTGATTAATAACTAATAGTATCTACTATTAACACATTGTCACGAAAATCGTCAATGACCCGGCACTAGTGACGAGTGGCACTGCTAAACAACAGTCGCGCTCTGACCAATATACTTATACCTACGCATGTGCTGTGAGCCGTGGTAGCTTAGATGGTTAGCGTTCGCTGCAAATTTTTCACAATACGCTGGGTTCGATCCCCACCGGCACCAATGAAATTGTTAAATGCAAGTTTAAGTGCTGTTTACCACGTGCTCGGTGGTGAAGGAAAACATTGTCAGGAAACCTGCATGTCTGAGAATTAATTAAAAAAATATATATTTCGAAGACATGTGAAGTTCGTCAATACGCATTGGGGCAGCGCGGCGGACATTTCGTTGCCCTTAAACCCTCTCAGAAATGAGAGCAGGCCTGTGCCCAGCAGTGGAACGTATATAGGCTGTAACTTTAACGAGTGTGTTGCTACTGGTCGCCACATATATATACGATATAGACATTATTACGTAGTACTTTTATTTATTCTGTGACAGTAGACACAGCACACTGTATAGAATAACCGATGAGTAGCTTGTCATTTTATTTTTTATATGTTATAAATAATACGTATGTAAAGCATTTATTTACATATGTACTATAGACATATACCCACACGAACACACATACACAAACACGCGCGCGCGCGCATTCCTCTTAGTCTTAGTTTACTAGCTTTACCTTGTTAGTCTTATTTTTATTTATATATATTAAAGGTAGGAGATACCTATAATTGGCTGTTATAACCATTTATAAATTATTGTCATTGTATATTCATAAGAGATGTTGGTTTTCTAAACAAATAAATAAATACCAATAAATATTAGTATTTAGAGCAGTACATAAAGTAGCAGTGTAGTAATGTTGTGTTAGTGTTTATGCATAACGGCCGTATTCACAAACATTACTAAAAGATCTCAAAGTTTATTTGCTCATCTAAAGGTAAATAAATAAGAAAAAATTAATCTGTCTGTGATTATAGCAAAACACTGACCATCCAAATAAACTTACAGATGCTCTTTTGTGAAACTACAATTTTCACTTTCATTATTATAACTGATAATATCGCCAATAGCGCCATCTATAAAAGTTAAGTTATATAGATGTGTTTCGTTTATTTATGCACTAGTATGCTAATATATAAAACCAAATTATTAAATTGAAAATGGGGGAATCGTCGTCGCATAGAAGTGCAAGCTTTAATATAGGTTAATATAATATTAAAGCTAACAGTTAAAGTAGTACAGTAGTAGTACAGTAATTGATACATACGTCTAGCTGCTGATCACAGTCCTCAACTCATTTCTGAGAGGGTTTTTAGAGCAAGGAGATGTCCGCCGCGCTGCCCCAATGAGTGTTAGCGAACTTCATATGTCTTCGAAATTATTGTTTTTTTCTTATTACTTATATATGCAGATTTCCTCACGAAGCTTACCTTCACCGCCGAGCACGTGATAAATCAGTACTTAAAATTGCAGTTAACAATTTCATTGGTGCCGGCGGGAATCGAACCCGGGTTGCTCGCGTACTGTGAAATTAACAGAGAGCGCTAACCATCTGAGCTACCACGGCTAATATAATATTAAATTACTATAATTATACAGCTTTCAGTTTTGATTCCTGGGTTTGACTAAATATTTCACCGTAAATGGTGTAAGATAATAACAAAACTTAAGAGTTCATAACCAGCATATTAAATTTACATACATTAATTTATGCATACATAATATATTCTTATTACAACAGGAAATCAAATAAAATTATAATATCCATCACTATTACATATAACTACACTATTACATCTATACCTTTATTAGGTCTTGTCAACCTCGCTTCCGTATCCGAGCAAAAAGCATGATATTGCTACGATTATTTACTAGGAGACGCGTTACTAGGCAACTGTTTATTCAATAAGACATTCCATTCTGTGTCATAACAAAGCGCTATCTTGTATATTTTTTTATTATATTTTAAAATTATGCCACCAAAGAAAGATAAAGGAAAAAAAGATGAAGAAACAAACAAGGGTGCTACTTTTACGGAGGTTGAAAGGACGTTCTTAGAACTACAACTAGCTGAGTGTAATAGAAAAATTGCAAGACTTCGGTCGGCAGTCGATGAATATGAACAACGCAATGAGGAATTACAAAAATCTTACGATAAGTTGGATGAAGATCGGGCTGATATTATTGCATATTTAAAAAAGATGCTAAACCTTAAAAATGATGAAAACTCTGAACTAAAAGAAAAAGTTAAGGGCCTTGAAGAAACTAGGGAAATTGAAACCGCTCGATTTAAAGAAACTGTATCCGAATTAGAGAAAAACTTTACAATAATGAAAGATCAGTTGACATCTGAGAACAAATTATTGGCTGGCAAATTAAATACATTGGAAGAATTCAGAGCTATAAGAGATGACTTAATGAGAAAATTTGAAAAACAGGAGCAGGATTTTAAAGATCAAGAGATGAAATATAAAAGAGTAATTTATGACGCTGAAAAGAAATTCGTCATAGGAAAAGATAAATTAAAAAAAGAAATGGAAGCCAGACTTCTACAATTAGCACAAGATTTCCAAGACGCCACGGAACTAAGAATAGCAGCTTCTACTCATCGTGTGATCAGGGAAAATATTGCTATTAATAATGAACTGGACAATATTTTATCTACTCAGTCAAAATTAGCAGAACAAAATGAAAAATATAAAGAAAGTGAAAGAGCGGCTCGTATTAAGATGGAACTAGCTGAAGAAGAAAGAGACAAAGCCATTAATAAAAGCATTGTTCAGCGAAAAGTTATCGATCAGTTAACTTCAGCTTTCCAAAACATAAATAAGGAGAAGGCGTTATTTGAAAAGAGAAACTATGATTTTGAAGCTCTGCAGGCAAAAGTTCAAAAATTAACTAAAGAAAATGAAAATCTTTCTTTACAAGTCAGAATCCTAGAACAAAATCTTCATGCAAAATTGACTGATCAAAACAAATCAGTTGTTGAGTCTTCAAAAGTTTCCAAAGAAAATGCTAAATTAAAGCAAATTTTAAAAGAAGCCGCGACCGCAGTTCGAGCGGCTTTAAAATTAGATCAATGGTCTGATGCGGATCCAACTCGCAATTTAGTGGATAGACAGGTTTTGCTTTCACGATTGCTTATGATTATTACCCAATATCGTGACGTACAACAAGCGGAATCAATGGAGACCTTTGCGTCATTAGAAAAAATTTATGAGGGTGGAGATCTTGGATTCATTCCAAAACCAAGTTCTAAAAAGTCGATTGGTTCTACAGTGGTTCTGGCGCCATCCAAGGAATCATTAAGTGAGGAAAAAGAAAGCGAACCCTCAATAGAACTTTCCACACCTTCGATAGGTAGTATTAAAACGATTCCTAGTATGAAGTTAGTGCCTCCGTCTTCTGAACCTGAAGTCCCAATTAAAGAAAGTGTTCAGTCATTTGTGACGTCATCTCAGTCGACTGAAGGTTCAGTACCAACTGAAACCGAAGAGCTTGAGACGGATACAGATGATATTGAAAAACAGCTGGCAAAAAGTAAATTAGAAATTCAGAAATCGATTATGAAAGACTTAGCATATTCGCAAATGGCTTTGCATTCACAAGCCAAATTTTCTGAAGAGCGGGACAAGGGATTAGTGTCAAAGTCAGTTGTATTTGAAAGCACTGAAAATGAAGAGAAAAGTGCGGACGACGTCGAGGAGTCTCGTGAAAAATTAGAAAGTGTGCAAGAGGTAAGCGACGACAGAAGTTTAGAAGAGCAAACAGAAGTGAAGGATGAAGAAGAAAGTTTGAATGAAACTACGCAAAAGGAAAAAGAGGACGTGAATGAGTAATCATTATGGCGTATTATAATATTATATACAATCCTACATTTATGTGTTTCAGAAATTATATTATTCTAATATTTACTGGTAATTTATAAAACCGTCATATTTTCTTATTGCAAATAAAATATATTCAGTTTTGATTCCTGGGTTTGATTTTTACGTTTAATTTTTTTTAAGATAGGGAAACATGTTTCAGAAATTATGCCATGCTACAAAAACCAACATAACTACACGTTGGTTATACGCACGAGCTAAAATAATTAAAATAAAATACTCAACTCTAATAAAATCTCAAGTAGATGTAATATTATAAAAGTTGCAAGCGTACAACTAATAAAAGATATAAAAAAGAGAACAAAATATGTATTTTTAATAAACTATTTCTATATCATTAGTAAATTAATAGGATTTCAATAAAACTTGAACTAGATGGAATGATGATAAAAATGCAGCGCTCTTTCCTTTTTGTACGTATTTTCTTTTATTATACAAAGGCAGTTAAGGCCCGGCAAGGGATTTTAGGTGGAAAGTAGTAATAAGTAACAACGACCTTAACTACTAAAGTTAAACCATTTTGTACAACCGATTTCAATATAAATAAAATGGGGACATCATCAATGTAGTCGAAGTCAATTAAATACGCATTATTAAGGTTAACTCAAAATCTACTGGTCAGATCATGTTCAAAATTATATGGGACCACATAAGAAGCACGGGTTTTAAAAAAAAAAAGAATCATCAAAATCGGTTCAGCTATAAAGAGAGGTAACACACATAAAAAACAGTCGAATTGAGTACCTCCTCCTTTTTTGAAGTCGGCAAAACACAATGGTAAGGTAAATTTATAGATGATTCCGGAAGAATGCCTTGTCAGCTTTTTAGCATGCTTCGGCAACCTTTGGGATGTCGAGGTAACATTCGGTGTGCCGAAACAGACGGCAAAACGGCCGCTCTGAATCATTGCTTCCAAAGGTCTTTTGTTGAATATATTTAGCTCTATTTTTAGTAAGAACTATCAGCGCTAGTTCATAACACATACAAATAGTTTATAAGATTGCAATGTTACAATTGCTCCGAAGTATGAGAATTTTACGTGGTAGAGCCATGCTGCAGATATATTAGTAGTATAGTTGTAGCACGAATGGGTCGGCTCGACCGGGGAAGGACCACGCTCTCACAGAATACCAACGTTATATAGCAGCTTTACGCTGCTGTGTTTCGTATGGTGAGTGTAGAGAACCGGAGACCCTTTTTACTGGAAATGAGGTATTCCATCTTAGTCCTCACGGGTGACAACGCATCTGCATTTTGATTTGTAATAGAGGATAGATGTGGATGTCTATGGGCCGCAGCAACCACTTACCATCAGGTAGACTGTGTGCTCGTTTGTCACCTTTATCCTATAAAAAAAAATTCTTGACAGAAAAACCTAATGACTTATTTTGTCTCAGTCACGCCTATGACCATTAGTTTAACGGGGCAGTCAGTATCAGTCACCCTATCGTTACAGCCTATTAAAGTCCACTGCTGAACATAGGCCTCCCCCATATATGGCCTCATAGGGGGATATTAGCCATAGTTGCCACGTTGATGCTGCTCATCTCCTGATTTATTTCTGTCTGTCGCCTCTTACGACACCCACGGGATGATATGGGGTAGTGGATATTCTTACACCGTCACAAGATGGTAACCCTTACTTCATCGCAATGCACTGTCCAAGCACAATTTTTTTTTTTTACTTATTTACTCTTTATAGTACACCAAAAAACAAAACAAAACGAGTACAGTTAAATCTAAAGTAGAAAATGTAGAACAGGCGGTCTTATCACTCTGAAAGTGATCTCTTGCAGACAACCTTAGCGTAGAGAACTGAAGCAAACAATAGTTAAAAATAGAGGGCGGCGTGCAAAATAAAAATAAAAATATGAAAATACATATAAAATAAAAATAAGTGAAGATTATGTATGATATAATATAATAGATTAAATGAAAAGAGTACGGAAAAGGAAAAGTAATTTATCTAATAGCGTTCTAAGTAATACGATTTAACTAGACTTTTGAGTTTTATTCTGTTATAAAACAAAGTATGTCTTCAGGGTCAAGCTGTGGAGCTTGCAGCTTGTGAATGCACTGCCCGACCCTGGGCCGGTGACTCTTCAGTGGTGGTTGCAGAAGTGGGGGCGAGATGTCGATGCGGCTGCGTATTGCACCTAGCACCCACTGCAAGACTGTTAGCTGGTTCTGCGAGGGCTTGCCCCGCTAGATCTTTCTGGTTACTTCAGGCAAGTACACTTATAGTGTAATTTATGAAAAGTTAGTAATGTTAGTAATGTTTCTTCGATAAAGATTTAGTGGACTGTATTGGCACATAAGTGGTAGAGCCATATTGCAGTCATGTTATGGTAGTTACACAAACGAGTCGGCCTGATCGGGGAAGGAACTACTTTTACTAGATATGAGTCAATTCATCTTAGTCCTCAGGGGTCGATAACTGCATTTTGATTCTTAATCAAGGATAAATGTAGATGTCTATGGATCACAGCGTCCACTTACCATCAGGTGGACTGCGTGCTCGTTTTCTATTAAAAAAAAATTAAAGTTGAGCGAGGAAAATGGATTAGAGTGCACATAGCATCCTCATGTAGCTTTGTCTTGCTCCTTGAATTGCAACTTACGTCCGTAATTAAGTCCGCCATACATTTCAGCATACTCACTCCTAGACCGTTTCGATGATATTAAACACTATTTGAATCTTGACCTTTTTTATAGGATAAGGGTGACAAACGAGCACACAGTCCACCTGATGGTAAGTGGTTGCTGTGGCCCATAAACATCTACATCTATCCTCAATAAATAACCAAAATGCAGATGCGTCGCCACCCGTGAGGACTAAGACGGAATGCCTCGTTTCCAGTAAAAAAGGTCTCCGGTTCTCTACACTCACCATACGAAACACAGCAGCGGTAAGCTGCTATTTTACGCTGGTATTCTGTGAGAGCGTGGTCTTTCCCCGGTCGAGACGAACCATTCGTGCTACAACTATACCAGTTATATAGCTGCAGCTTGACTCTACCACGTATAAACTACTATTAACTATTTTATCATTTCAAACGAATCACAGCTGTACACTGTTCCGTAGCCTTTTTTGTTTAGTTTAAATCAGTGCCGGTTGTTTGTGGACTCAATTATAATGGTATCAACTGAAAACTAGTGCTTTGGCAGCTATCCCAAATCACAAATAATCATTGAGACGGGAGTCTTTTGACCTCTCACAACTGTTGCTTATTTTTAATTATATGTAATTATTTCTATTGACCGTGTAGTAGCAGCATAAGGAACTTCACTCCCCCATATCATCTTGTGGATGTCGTAAAAGACGGCAAAGACAAACGGAAACTAATTAAAACTGTTGTTGCTAAGCATAGCAACTGTGGCATAACCCTTCCTATGAGGTAATCACAGTTTTTCTTATACAGAAAGATGACAAGTTAATCGAACCGATTACGACAGACTCCGGATAGACTAAATAAATTGAATCAATATTGAATTTGTTATAATATAACAAGCCATCAAAACTTGTCTATTTCCCATTACCGGTTCACTCTTAAGCAATTACTGTTTAGCTTTTAACAAATTGCCTCACAAATTAGTTGAACGCATATTAATCTTGGAGATCTATTGAACAGTTTTGAGTGTATACCGATTTCTAAGTCAATACTTGATTGGGCAAAGGTGATGATGATTTGATGGCACGGTAACGTAGTAGCAAAAGGTTCGGCTGCGGTGTTTACAGTGGGCCTGTTTGTTTCCTGTTAACACCTATTCTGTATGGCATATAAATAATTGTGCCGGGACTGTGTCTTTGTCTATGTTTTCATGGCAGTAATGGTGACGGTTGACATGATAGTACGTAGATGCTGATTTAAAAAAAAAAACACCACCTCTCCCCGCACTAGTAATTAAAAAATCTTCTGTGTCGTGAAGGCAGTATGCATACAAAACTTGCACAAGGACAAACATACAAACAAAATACGCAACTCCTTGGAGCTGTTGACCTGCAATTCCTAACCTAGCCAATAGACGGAGCGCTGTGTAAGTTTCAAGTAATGCCGAAACCATGCTAACATTCTCGAAACACTTTCACACACACATATTTCTTCTTTCTTTCTTTATCAGCCCGTATAACTGCTGTAACTGCTGTACGGACACATGTGCACCTAAACATGTTGGGCAAATGATTTTAGATGCATGTGTACGTGAGAGCGTATTCTTATAATACGTTGACGATAGTTTTGACTTGGTTTTTGCTGTCACTATCCATGTTTTATTGTATAAATTTAAAAAGAATTAGTTGTTGAAAAAAAATTATATTCTTTTCTATTCTTACCTCGTCTTACAAGGCAAATACAATTAATTAAATGAGCTCAGCTACTCAACTTTTTGTTTTGCTTACACAATGGTAGTTATCAGGCTAACTAAGAGAATTTAAACTTTTAAATTGCTCTGTCTTCCGGTCAAAGTTACCCCTAAAGGGCGACAAGACTTACGGTTAACACGCCGTAGAATGGGACCGAATCACTCTTGTACTATAAATTCCGAAACAGCTTTGAGAAACGTTCCCAGTCCTTTGGGGGTTTTGCGATATTCACACTCTAATTAAACTTGCCTTCAGTTGAATTCCCCGCAGTATTGATAGCTTTTAGTCACAGGAGCTGTTATTTAAGGAAATACCGAACTCCGACAGATTGCCCTTTGAGAAAAGATCACTCTACGTAGTATAGCCAAACTGCAGATAAATTAGGGTTGTACCACGGATGGGCCGGCTCGACCGGGGAAGGGCCACGCTTTCACAGAATACTAGCATAAAATAGCAGTTTAATGCTGCGGTGTTTCATATGGTGAGAGAGACAACTAGAGACCTTTTTCACTGATGTTAGTTAGAGGACCGCGTTCTTTTTTGTATAGAATAAGGGTGACGAACAAGTCCACGCTTCACCTGATGGTAAATGTATGCTGTGGCCCATAGCTACAACTATCCTCGATTAAGAATCAAAAAGTAGATGCGCTGTCACCCTTGACGACTAATATGGAACTCTCGTGTTCAGTAATAAGGGTATCCGTTTCTGTGCACTTTCCGCGTGGTATTATACGTGGTAGAGCCATGCTGTAGTTATATTAGAAGTATAGTTGTAGCACGAATGGGACGCCTCGACCGGGGAAGGACCACGCTCTCACAGAATATCAGCGTAAAATGGCAGCTTGGCACTGCTGTGTTTCGTATGGTGAGTGTAGAGAACCGGAGACCCGGAGATGTTACTGGAAAAGAGATTCCATCTAAGTCCTCACGGGTGACGACGCATCTGCATTTTGATTCTTTATTGAGGATAAATGTAGATATCTATGGGTTACAGCAACCACTTACCATCAGGTGCACTGTGTGCTTGTTTGTCACCCTATCCTATAACAAAAATACATGCACAGCACCATTAAATTGTTATGTTACGCTGGTATTCTGTGAAAGCGTGGTACTTTCCTTGGTGGAGCTGACTCATTCTTGCTACTACCATAATATAGCTGCAGCGTGGTTTTATCGAATTGGATTAATAGATTATTTTACATACGAAACACGTCTCATTTAACTATACTCTAATTATAATTCTCTAATTTTCTTCTTAGGCTGAGGAAGGGTTAGTAGTTAGACTGCGTTTCGAGACAGTCCGGCTGCCTTGTGCCGGTCAAGCGCTCCGAGCCAGAGACGGAGACTCCTTAGGATCGCCGCTTCTCGCTTCTTGGGACGGACCTGATAGTACTGCTTCGGTGAGCATTTGAACAAAGAAGGACAACTAAATAATTAAGTATGATAAAAATTATTTCTATATGATCGTTAGCTCTTTGACCTTGTAGTGGCGGTGTAAGAATATCCACTATCCCATATTGTGCCGTGGGTGTCGTAAGAGGTGACAGAGGGAATTGAAACAAGAGATGGGTAGATACTATGCTAATAATTTAGTTGCTATCAAATTCAACTCAAAATAGTAAAAAAATGTGGTTATCAAGCTTCCTTCCATGCATGGTAACTAAAGAAAGAAAGGAAGAAAGAAAGAAGAATGTTCAGCAGTGGACTTTTGAGAGACTGTAACGATAATCTCTTTATAGCCCACCCCTTGGTTTGTGCTACACCCAAAAAGGGAGAGAACATTGCTATAATCGAGAGGTAGAATGTATGGTCCACGCCTTCAACTTATCATGCGATGCACTGTTACCTTCGTTTGTCTATGTTACTTCTAATAAAGGTGCTAAGATCCACGTAAAAATAAAAATTATATGTGTCTGACCTAGTTTAAAGAGTAGATCCTGCCTTCCTTCAAATTCGTGCGCTATCCCCGTCACAACTACTCTCAACACCACTGCAGTAGGAAACACCTCTGTTGATATTACTAGAATTTGGCGATGGCTGCTCGCCAAGTGCCTCCTGATGATGCCCTATTTAGAGACAAAACACATGTCGCATTCTCGATGGCGTTGTATCTTTCCTAATGTAGTGTTGTTGGGAGTAGTGGTGACGGGGATAGTGCACGCCATTGGGGGAGGGCGGGAGGTACTCTTCAAACTAGGTAAACATTTTATTCGATAAAAAAATAATCAGCTAATCAATTGCAACATCTTTAATATAATGCATTTCCGCAAAGTAACGCCTGATTCTATTAATGATTTACTTCTAGAAAAATAGTATTTGATAAAAAATAATTCGCTTGTAGACAGGTGACGTGGAAACTACAACCGACGGTACGGGTGTGGTGGAAATAGCTGGCGGTCGGCACATACTTGTGGAGCTAAAGTCGGCGGACACCAGCGAACGCTGCACTGGCGGCTTCTTGGCTCACGCCTACCAAATTGGTTAGTAACCGACAACTAACCTTCCATTTGCAGCTAAAGAAACCGAAATTGACAGCTAAAAGTTCAAAAGAGCCGTGGAGGTTGAGAGGCTAAGGGTTTACTCAAACTTCACAGTATGCAACAAAACTGGATTTGATTACCGCCGGCACGCAACAGTACGAATTACTGTACTAAAGGTAGACATCGTAACGAGACCTGCATTTTTTTTAATAGGATAAGGGTGACAAACGAGCACACAGTCCACCTGATGGTAAGTGGTTGCTGCGGCCCATAGGCATCTACATCTATCCTCTGTTACAAATCAAAATGTAGATGCGTTGTCACCCGTGAGGACTAAGATGGAATGCATCATTTCCAGTAAAAAGGGCCACCTGCACTCACCAAGCGAAACGCAGAGGTAAACCTCTACTTCACGCTGGTTTTCTTTGAGGTACCACGGTACCGCCCCGGTTCGAGCCGGCCCATCCGTGCGACAGCAAAAGCTGCCGCGTGGCTCTACCACTGTTGAAACTGCATGTATGAGGAATAAAATTCATGGAGGACATGAAGACACACTGAAGCAGCACGGCAAACTAATCGCTCCATACCTATTCTCAGAAATGAGAAGAGGTTACAGTAGATTTGTTTGACGGCTCCGTGACGCAGTGGCTTAGCAATGAGGTGCAGCGCTAGGGGACGCGGGTTAAAATCCTGCACGGTACAGTTATTTGTATGGCCTACAAATAATTGTTCCGGGTCTGGATGTTTTCCCTTGTACAGTTTATGTTTGTAAATTGCCTCTACGATACAGGAGAAAATCCTAGGGTGGGGTGACGATATTTGTAAAAAAATGTTTCTCAAAAATGGCACTAACGATTTTCACGTAATAGAAACATACAGATTTTGATCGCGGTGTTTGTTCTAGTACGTAGTACATATAACTACGTAGTACTAATATTTATTCTGTGATATTACTTCAATGACGAAATATAATAATAAATATTTTATTATACACCATAAACAAAAAGTACAAAAATAGAGGAGTAGTGTCTAAATAAGTTGCACAAAGGGCGACTTCATCGCTAAAAGCGATCTCTTCCAGGCAATCCTTGGATGGACAGAAACTTAAAATACAAGTAGACGGTGGTGTATTTGTATTTTAAGGTGTCGTTCTGTCTATCTTCTTATTAGGAAATATAATATAAAGTAGTAAATATATTGTAATAAGCAGAGCCGATCCGCAACGCGTCAGCCGCGTGGGCATCAGTAGGGGGCGGGGCGTGGTGGCGCGGTGGCGGGGGAGCTCGTGCCGCAGCCGGGGCGCTGGCGGCGCTTGCAGCGCTCGCAGCGCTGGCCCTCGCGCTGCATTCAGCACACCGCACCAGAGCGTACCAGCGAGCCGCCGACAAGGAGTCGCTTACTGATAGCGATGGTGAGTGTTGTTTATTCAATTCTTTAGCTGAACTTAACTACTTTAACTGAACTTACGAGTAACATTTGACTTGCAATCAAATATAGAGAAATACAGAGATAGAGATAAACGTACGATAACGACAGGTACAAAACCACGATTAACACGGACAACGTAACGTTTTTCGAGATATGACGTTTTTTGGATAAAAGGCAGACAATTTCTTCTTGTATGGAGAATGGGCCAGCTCCGCGATGTTAGCACTTCATGTGCGGAATTTCGATTTACCAATAATACTATCTGAAAGGTCAGAAATTGGTCATAAAAGGTCAGTTGATCTTATTAATTGGTCAGCGTTAGAAACATTTTTATTAAGGGTTAAAGTTTTTCAAGGTCATTGAGAAATTTTAGCACCTCATTCGCGAAAAATATAAATAATAAAAAATATGCGCGATCGAGAAGCATTCGCTGATAATTGGTCAGCTTATATAAATATTTGGTCAGTTTAATTTAATATTTAAAAAAAATTAGTTGGCATTGCCGTAACGCGCATGCTTTGTGACGGTTAATTGTATCAGGGCAGTGAACACTTACGCACAGCTCTTTACTATGAACGAGACGGAGGGGGGGGGGGGGGGGGGATATTTTTTATATTTTATTTTTGAGAAGAAACAACTTAGACATTTTCTACTATTTTTTGAACTACGTGAAGGTGAAAGTGCATGCATGGGATTTGGGGATGTTAACTAGCTTATTTTATAATAATTTTATATAAACATGATTTTTTGGGTTCCGTACATCAAAAAGAAAAAACGAAACCCTTATAGGATCACTTTGTTGTCCCTCTGTCTGTCTGTCAAGACCCTTTTTCTCAGGAACGCATGGAGGTATCAAGCTGAAATTCATTTCAAATACTTAAGTCTACTGTCCCTTCGAGCTGTGAAAAAATCAATTTTCTAAGCCAACACAATCAAAAGATACAGCCGTTTATGCCGCAAATGTTCGACATTCGCAAGGGAATCAAAACCTACAGGGTACTTCCCGTGAACTCAGAATCTTGAAATTTGGCACAAAGCAACGTTTTATAGCACAGATAAAGGAAATTTGCGATAAGCATAAGTTTTTAGTTACATCATATAATAAAAATATTTTTAATAATTTTAAACTTATATGCCTACGGATTTGTTCGGAACCCTCGGAGCGCGAGTCCGACTCTCACTTGGCCGGTTTTTTTAAATTAGAAATATTTTATTTACTTAAAAAATTTCCATGAAAATTAATTTCTAAAATACACTTATTATAATTTAAGTTTTTCAATTCTAACTTTATATTAATACTCTAAAATATATTAGTACAAGGCTGCTTAAAACACCGAAAATTTCTCCATTTCTTAGCAATATATATATATATATATATATATATATATATATATATATATATATATATAATAGTTAAATAGCAATATATAATAATTGAAAAGATTAATCATAACTAAACAAAACAAAATTTAACTGCCATTTACATTCCATTACTTCCCACATGATAGATGAAGAGTTTTCAAAATAGATTGAGTTACAATTAACCGTCCCAAACCATGCGCGTTACGACAATGCCAATTATTACAAAAGTAATAATTAGTTTAGTCGCATCTAACAGGAATACTGAGAAATTAACAATTAAAATATGAAAATCACAATAACCTAAAAACAAATTAAAAGCGAGTGGCTTGTAGTTTTCACCGTATATAAGTTCAAAATAACGCATTGTTAAATAATAAATAGTATAAAACAAAGTTGTAGGTACATTCAACATTTATAGTTTGTTTAAAATTGGTGTAAAATCCTGTTAGTGGTTCCGGCACAATTTAGATTTTTTTTTGACATGATTGTTTTAAAATATACTTTCACACATAAAATAATAAATTTCCTAACATTATTTTTTTATAAGATAAGGGTGACAAACGAGCACACAGTCCACCTGATGGTAAGTGGTTGCTGCGGCCCATAGACATCTACATCTATCCTCGTTTGCGAATCAAAATGCAGATGCTTTGCTACCCGTGAGGACTAAGATGGAATGCCTCATTTCCAGTAAAAAGGGCCTCCGGCCACCTGCACTCACCAAGCGAAACGCAGAGGTAAACCTCTACTTCACGCTGGTATTCTGTGAGGTCGTGGTACCACCCCGGTTCGAGCCGGCCCATCTGTTCGACAGCAAAAGCTGCCGCGTGGCTCTACCACTGTGAAAACATTCCTGCAAGTTACTCAAGAAAACATCGAAAGTAAGAATTTTAGTTTTTATTGGGGCAGACTCAAACATTCATCCTTAATTTAAAAATACAAAAAGGAGTTTCCATTGATTTCAGCTGACTTTAAAAACTTTGCATATATCTAAGCTATTCAAAACATTAAAAAAATTGGTACTTAACGGGCAATTATTCGCTGTAATCGGCCTTTGAAGCTAACAATCCACAAATTTTTTTAAGCTTTAAAAAAATATTTTGACTATTTTTTCCATCCCTACGGCAAATTTTAGTGAAAATTTCGCGATTGCATTCAAATGTACACAAATTGACCGATAAAGATGATAATTTGTAAAAATTTAAAGAACAAAGGTGTAATTTATTCGTTAGGTCATTGGGTCTTATTTTTGTATGATGACAAAAAAAATTCTCAAAAACTAATCATTTTTTCCTTAATTAAGGCAAGCTTTCAAAATGACGCCCTCCTATTTCAATGAAAAGATGAGACAGCGTTTTAAAAAGTTATGTTTTATTGTCTGAAAGAACATTTTTCTTGCAGCTGTTTCCACATTTTCTCCCAATTCTTCTTCATTATCTACTTCCCGCGCGTACACCAGCTCCTTGTAAAATCCCCAAATAAGAGTCGATAGGGTTTACGTCTGTCGAACGTGCGGGCCATTCGATCGGTTTTGTCGAAAAGTTTCGTTGAGATGCTGTCTTGTATTGCGTAGTGCCAAGAAGCACCGTCATTTTGAAAAATCATTTGTTGTCGTACCGCTACGAACGTATATACGTCTTCCAACAATTCATAAAAGTGACTTCGTAAAAAATTTAAAAGTCCGTCCATCTAACCTAGACGGTAATTCAAAGGGACCGATAAATTCTCCATTTAGGATCCCAGGCCACAAGTTAACGCAAAAGTGGTATTGGAAGTTCGATGCCCTTGCCAGAAATTTAAGTGCTTTCGAATCTGGAATCGTCGGTCCGAAATATTTTTTTGTAGAAATCAGGGTCTTCTTCAGATATCTGTAACATGATTTCACAAAAAAGCTACTCTTTTTCGGTAATCAGATTCCTATAGTTGCAAAACAAAAAAGAAACTCATATTTATAACAAGTTAAAATCTTAAAACTGGTATTACAGCATATTTTAAGGCTCACCTTTATAAAGAATTCTTAGAACCGAAGTTCGTGGAACTGCAGTTCGTGTGGCTATTCTTCTTGAACTTGTAGACGGGTCTCTTTGGACTTTTTGGTTGTTCGCAAAATTGATTGCAACTGGGGACACGTCCAGCCATCAGGCTGTTATTTTACGTGAGTAAAATATCACGAGCAAGACACGTACAGCACAATAATTCATATTAACATTCAATTTTGGACGTCACTATTTGGACCAGCCTGTATATGTATTTAATATGTTATCTTTGGAAAGAAATATTTTTCTTTTTATACAAACTGCAAAATGATTCATTAGGCGCATTTTTCCCGATAATACATTTACCAGGACACGAATATCAAAACAAGTAATTTTTTTTCAGATTTCATTATTCGCGTTAGATATTCATAAAATCTTTAGGCAATTTACTGTATTAAATTGGTATCTTTTTATGTAGTAAAACCATTATGTTACGTTAAAATTTCTTGTGGGCCAAAAAACGATTGTCTCCTTTAATAACTCATTGACAAAATAGTTTCCGATATGGCAACATGAGAGGTATTTTTGGCATTTTATTTTAACGCGTAATTCGTCGTTGACGCCACAAAGGGGCAAACCTCAATTTTTCAAAAAAATGCAGGAGAGCAAGAAAACATTTATTATTCCCCGATTACTAGCTTTTTTTCATCAGGAAAATTAATCTTATTTGTAGTTTTCCATTAAGTCTAATATATTTATGTTGACACTGCTGTGTCTCGTATGGTGAGCGTAGAGAACCGGAGACTCTTTTTACTGGAAAAGAGGCATTCCATCTTAGTCCTCACGAGTGACGACGCATCTGCACTTTGATTCTTTATTGAGGATAAATGTAGATGTCTATGGGTCACAGTAACCACTTACCATCAGGTGGTCTGTGTGCTCGTTTGTCACCCAATCCTATAAAAAAAAAAAAACTTAAATAATGTTCTTACAAACAACAAACAAATTAATGTCATTCAAAAACACGAAATGTCACCCAAAAGGCAAATATAGCGGCAAATATAAATCAGTGCTGAACTAACATATAAAAATCATAACTCATTTTCACCTGATTATAATAGTCATGTATATGAGTTTTTGTTCCCATGGTATGAGGAACACATAGTTTCCGCCACTACACACTCACAAAACTAACATGTAGGTACCTAAATATTATTTGCGTACGTGAGGCTAAAGTTAGTCATCCGGTTAATATGGTCACATTCTTGTAACTCAAAAACTGCAGCCTTGTTTGCATAGATGGCTTTGTCATACGAAAGCTCTTATCAGTCAATCTCTACATAATATATAATTTAAAATTAAAAATGTTGTACAACCGACTTCAATATAAATTATTAAGAATAACTCAAAAACTACCAGTCAGATCTTGATCAAATTTATATGGAACCACATGTGAAGCACCAGCTTTCAAAAAAAAAAAGAATCATCGAAATCGGTTCACTCAGTAAGAAGTTATGAGGTAACACACATTAAAAAAAACATACAGTCGAATTGAGTACCGGCTCCTTTTGAAGTCGGTAGAAAACAAAGTCGCTTCTGTACGCTTAGATCATTTAAACTAAGCAACGGATTTTGATACGGTTTTCGTAAATAGGCAGAATGATTGAAAAGAAAAATTTATATGTATAATACATGAATATGATATATAATATAATTCTTCTATCCGTGTGTATGTGACTTAACTTCTAAACGGCTGGACCGATCTTGTTAAAATTTTGGGTGTACAATTAGATTAACAATTGGACCCGATAGATGGCGTTATTGTCGAGATTCAGAAATAAACGTGTGACGCCGGGGTGGATCGCTAGTCAAATAATAAAAGATTAAAAAGATAAAGAGCGCTGCTTCATCAGCGCCTTTTGTACAGTTGGCATTTTAGTAAATATTGTAATAATATTATAAGTTAATTAATTTTTCAAAGTGGTCCTGATAATTGCCAAAGTTTGTATGCTATTTCTTTTTCTTAATATATTGGTGATAGTATACGACTTTATGTTTTTGTCTATGTACTCCTCCTAGTTTTGGTTTTATAGGGCGGCAAAGCTTAAGGTGACCATATTACCCTTAATATACCTTACTCATTTCCTCCTCATTATAATAACCATGCATGGGAGCTTTTATCCCCGTGGTGTGTGGGGGGGGGGGGATTATAACGTAGTGTTGTGCAGCGTGCTCGGCGTCGCTGGAGCTGGGCGTGACGGCGGCAGCGTCGCGCAGCACGTTGCTGTCGGACGTGGTTGGCAGCGTGGCGCTGCGCCGCCTGCTGCCCACCACACGCCACTCCAGGCTACGGGAACCGGACCCCACCACGCACAGGTAAAACTTTTGTTAAGGTTTTGTTATATTTATTATATTTATACCTGAATAGTATTCGTACATATATGCATATTGATAATTAATCTTTACAAATAAATAAAATTGAAGTGTCTGTTTGTAATGTCAAAATTACAGTTTTTTACTAAATGCATATATATGAAAGTATATACGGTACTAATAACAAAAATACTATTTTTAAAGTTTTTGTCTGTCTGTTTGTCCGTCTGTCTGTCTGTCTGCTTGTTCTGGCTAATCTCCGAAACGGCTGGACCGATTTTAACGGGATTTACACTGGCAGATAGCTGATGTCACAAGGAGTAACTTAGGCTACTTTTATTTTAGAAAAAGTATTAGGGTTCCGCACAAAAAAATTAAAACCCCAAATAATACGCGGGCGAAGTCGCGAGGAATAGCTAGTATCATATTACCTAGCTATCATATTATCATATCATACATACACGCAAGTAATGTACTTTGAACCGGAGACCCTTCTGGTTGTTGCCTCTTGCGACACCTAAGGAATGATTGAATGATGTGATGTGGAAGATTCTCTTATAGCACCACTATATGGCAATTTTTAACTATTAACTAAACTATTATATAACTATTTTTTATATTGCCACTATATGGCAATATAAAAAATATAGAAACACATGTCTAGATCTGGTTATGGTAGAGAGAGTGGGAGTGAGAGATTTGACTGCATACGTCTTTCGAAACCTGTGTTTTTATTCTGAGTACTAAAATTACTACTAAAATTAGTGTAGCAATTAACGTTAATTAGTTAATTAATAATTATTTAACGTTACGGCTATAAGATTCTAGAACGAAATACCTCTTGACATTCAAGAAGCTTCCAACAAGTTTCTTTTTAAAAACAAAGTTCGTGAACATATTACTAAAGCATTGCAAGTGTGAATTCTATCGTCACATATTTTCCTTATTTATCACGATATGTGTTTATATATGTGTGTATATAATATTATGTATGTATTTAATGTATTTACGTAGATTTATTTATTTTTGTACGTGTGTAATAATATATTCATATTTGTATATATATATATATATATAATTATATCCCGATATGGTATTTTAACCGGTTTTAGATTAATAAGGGTTGTGGTAGATAGCAGTACTACTAAGGTTGCCGTTACAAAAAAAAATACAAAAAAAAATCGGGGTATCGATTTTCGAAGAATTTCATTTTTTTTTTGTAATTTCAAAAACGATTTAGATTTTTTTTCTTTTTTTTTTCTCGAGTAGTCATGAGCAGGTCCACCCTCTGGTGCCCGTTTATTGTTGAATTTTGGGACACGTTGTATATATATATATATATATATATATATATATATATATATATATATATATATATATAGTGCATAAAAGTTTAAATAAATAAATAGTACTGACTTGATATATATCGAGAATAAAGAAGGGGACCATGATCTCGTTTATTATCCTACCAAATTACGAAGTACGTTTGTCTAACAAATATTTTATTTCCTCGATCTTGTTAACAAAAGCAATAAACGGCCCTAGTAAAATCGACGTAAAATTTAAAGCACTTCACTCCGAGTTTAAAACATAAGAAGACTCGTTAAGGGTGTAATTGTAAAGGGTCTTGATTGCCAGCAGTGCCATTGTTTGGACACGTATTGCTTACTTTACAACACGAACGGTTGTTATGGTAATTGCCATTACGTCATATTATAATAATTGGAAAGGGGGATGTTTCTCTATTTTAAACTTTATATGAATCAGTTTCATAAGATACTTGTAATTTGTGATATGTATATGTATTTATAGACACCAGACAATCCAAATACTATCTACCTTTATTTTATTCCGATATTTCTGTTTCCATGTAAAATATTTTACAGTGACGCCTGGATAACTGGGACCATAAGGGACCTGCAAATTTGTCTCACTCAAAGAGGTATTCCACTTACCCAGTGTCTCAGATATGCAGGTATAAATAAATTTCTGCCTCATTTACAGAGGGTTCCATTAATAGAGGTGAGAATAGAGGTTATTTCTGTTATAGAGGTGCTTTCGCTTCGGCATTTTCAAATAAGCATCCGGACGATAGCAAAACCAAATTAAAACTGCAGGTCACTTTTACACAATTAGCCAAGTGCGGAATTTGCGGGTAGAATAAGAATTAGTAAACAAAACGGTACACAAAATATAGTCTCAGTAAAATAGGTAAAATATACTCGCTGTCTCAATTATTGAGGTAATTATGAAGTAATTAATAGAATCAGGCGTTACTTTGCGGAAATCCATTATATAAAAGCTTTTACAAAAATTTACTTCGCAAATATCCGCGTTATAAAATAAAATGATGTGTCTTACCTAGTATGAAGAAGCACCTCCCTGATCTAGATCATCACCTGATATAGACTCTACGGTGGCTAACCACCGTAGAGTCTATATCACCTGAGGATGCCTCGTGTAGAGGCGAAACACGTGTCGTATTATCGTCAGTGGTGTGTCTTGCCTAGTGTAGTGGTGTTGGGAGTAGCGGTGCTGGGATTAGTGGTGACGGGGATAGTGCACGCAATTGAGGGAGGGCGGGAGGTGCTTCTTCATACTAGGTAAGACACATCATTTTATTTTATAACGCGGATATTTGCGAAGTAAATTTTTGTAAAAGCTTTTATGTAATTATGAAGATAAAATCGAAAGAACTAATCCCAGATATAGAAGTTTGTTTTGTCCCACTAACAAAGGTAATTTCAGTGCTAAAGCGTCGGGACCTAAGCATGAGTTCCGGCTATAGAAGTTTCTCACTAATGCACATCCCACTTAACCAAGTTTTACTTTATTTTGAAAAGGGATAAGTAACCTAATCGTGAGTTACAGATCACGAACTTGTTTTTATAATACTAACGACAAATGAACTTGTAGTCCGCCTGATGGTAAGTGGCTCCTGCAGCACATGAAGACCAAAAAGTTGTCGCCTCTGAAGACTATGATGGAATGCCTCACAGCCTGTAACTATGCTGGATCTCTATACCATTGAGAGCAGTGCACGTGGCGGCAGAAATAGGAAAGAGGATGGTACCTATACAGTCCGGCTTATGTGCAGAAAATGAGTTTTAACACCCAGAAAAACAGTTCACGTAAGCTCTCGTAGCAGCTTTTTCACCGACTTAAAAAAGGAGGCGGTACTCAATTCGTCTGCATGTTTTTTTATGTGTGTTACCTCATAACTTTTTTCTGGGTGAACTGATTTCAAAGATTCCTTTTTTATTTTAAAGCTGGTGCTTCTCATGTGGTCGCATATAAATTTGATCAAGGTCTAACTAATAGTTTTTGAGTTATTCATAATAATTTATATTGAAGTCGGTTGTACAAAATTTTTAATTTATAATTATTTACGAATACGATTATTGACGAGTACGAAGAGGCTATGTGGTATTGCATTATATATTACATATCTGAAACTATTATTGATGTAAAATGGTTTTCATTTTATTTTGTTTGCGTAACGTTTCCAGACGATGTGCAGCGTCTACTTGATTACAATTCAAAATAAAAAAAAGACTGCGATCACCAGCCCGACTACCAGGCGGGGAAACTATAACTTTTTTTATAGGATTGGGGTGACGAGCGAGCACACAGTCCACCTGATGGTAAGTGGTTGCTGCGGCCCATAGACATCTACATTTATCCTCCATTACGAATTAAAATGCAGATGCGTTATCACCCGTGAGGACTAAGATGGAATGCCTCATTTCCAGTAAAAAGGGTCTCCGGTTCTCTACACTCACCATGCGAAACACTGCTGTGTTTCGCATGGTGAGTGTAGAGTGCAGTGAACGCTGCTGCGTTAAGCTGCTATTTTACGCTGGTATTCTGTGAGAGCGTGCGTACATACATATGTATGTGTGATTGCGTAAAGAATGCTAGTAACGCTATTAAAATAACTAATACTTCCGTTAGCTACTCCAAGTAAGCTTAAAATGCTTGTGTTACGAGTGGTTAACTACTGTAGTCGAATGGCGGATTCGAACCCACGACTCTTCGAGTGTGTATTGTGTCGTCCATAAGTTGAAACCCTATTTCAATAATTAATACTAACATTATTTTACTAATTTCATTCTAGTGGCCTCAGGTAGTGTAATGACAGCTTGTTTGTCACATCATTTCTACATAATATATAAAAAAATGCGATTTAATTATACAAAACTAGCTGTTCCCCGCGACTTAGCCCGCGTGGAGTTATTTTTCGCGGAACCCTAAAATAAAAACAGCCCAAGTTACTTCTTATAACATCAGCTAACTACCAGTGTGTATAAATATTGACAAATATTGACATTAATATTTTTTTTACGATAGTAACGTCACTCAATTGTTTTACCTACCCGGAAACCCTCCACTAACACTTAAACTTTATGGAATGGTATTAAAGTTCAAATTGACTTTTAAGTATTATTACGAATCTTTTGTATGGGAATATAGAAAAGTGTTGTTTTTAGACTTTATCAGGCAATTTTTTAAATTTTTCTCTCCGTAAGAACCATCTTCATACTTCAAGGAATATTATAAAAAATAATTAGTGAAATCGGTTCAGCTGCTCTCGAGATTTGCGCTTAGCAACATATTCAGCGATTCATTTTTATATTATAGAATAACACAGATTTCTTTATCGTTACTTACAGTACAGCAAGCAAATGTATTTAGGAATTTTCATAACCCAGTGTATGATCTATTAGTACATTTTGTTTAGGGATGAAGAAGACCAGGGTACGGACGTAGAAATCGAACAAGGGGACAACATAAGCGTTGCGAGCGCCGAAAGCGTCGCCAGCCAAGCTACCATCACTCCAGAAACTGTGTCGTCGAGTAGCGCTCCAGCTGGCACTAAGAACATCACACCATCTCCGCTGCGGCGGTCACACACCGTCTCCACCTCACATGTTAGCTCTTCTCAGGTATATACTGTTTTTGGACTACAAAAACAAGTTCCAGATACATTTAGTTAAACTTTACCATTTGTTTTACCGTGTAGTAGTGAAGGTGTAAGAATATCCAATACCCCCCGATTGTCCCATGGGTGTCATTAGAGGCCGCAGAGGGAAACAAACGAGGAGATGGGCAGCAGCGTCTTCCTGATAACAGCTAGTAAATGAAGAAAGCGAATGCTAACCCACACGCGTGCCAACTGTTGCGAATGCCCCCCCCCCCCCTCCCCCTATGAGGCGGTCTATGCGGGAGGCCTATGTTCAACGGTGCACTCTTTATTTAGCTCGTCTTCAATACATTGCCAATTTAGTCCATAAGTATCCGTTTCGAGTGATTCTTGCCAACTTTGTCACTACCTTCTGCAGCATAAACTTGCTTTGTCACTCTTTCATAATTCATTCTTTCTACTTATCCAAACCACCGATGCATTCATTTTTAATCTGGACTTTGTCAAATAGTAACGGTAGTAATATAATCAATATAATAAACCGAAGGGGTTACTGTTTTTTTAATAAATAAATAAAGAAACTACCAAAATTCAGCAATGTCTTGTAGTTTGATTGTATTTTTCATCTATTATTAGTTATTACTTGACTTCTACCCCATCACATGATAAGTGATGTAGCCGAAAATGGCAAACCTACTGATTTTTTTATTTTTTTATCTTCTTTTTTTACTTTACCCCCACAATAGGATTTTCTCCTGTATCGTGGAGGCAGTTTACAAACACCAATTGCACAAGGATAAACATCCAGACCCAGAACAATTATTTGTTGGTCATACAAATACTTGTTCCTTGCGGGATTCGAACCCGCGACCCCAGCGTAGCAACTCATTGCTAAGCCACTGCGCCACAGGGCCGTCGATTTAGTTTGTATTTGTAAGTAAAAGATGTTATTTGTTCCCCAAGTTTCAACCTCACCTATACCCGCAATAACTGACCGAGGAAAGATACTGATGACCGACTAATTGAAGAAAATACATTTTAATATGTCTAACAAAAATCCAACTTTGTAGGGTAGCAGATTAATTACCAGCGTAAGCTTATTCTTGATATTGCCTCCATCTTGCAGTGAACTTAATAAACAGCCTGTTGAAAAGGGCCGCCTCTAACCTAAATTATTTCTTAAATTTTTATAAGATAATATTTTTATATTCATGTTGGTAAAAGTTACCTCGCATATTACCAACAACATTTTACCAAATTTAATATAACGTATTTTCGCAAAGTAACGCCTGATTCTATTAATTATATTTTTAAAATAGTTTATTTTTGATTTCATTAAATAAAACTATTTTTACCGATTTTATTGAGTTTAATTAATTCAATTATATTATATCATCTCGTGGGGACGATAAAGGGAAATGAAACAGGTGATGGACTGCAGCATATTTCAGATAGCACTTAAAAACAATAAAAAACAACGGTTGGCAACCCACCTGCCAATTGTGGCAACTATGGGAAATGTACCCCCTCTGAGGCAATGGAAGGGGTGGCTTATGTTGGCAATGGACTTTGATAGTCTGTGTTGATGATGATGATTTCAAATAAGTTAAATTAAACGTGATAAAGTCTGCAATAGTATGTTTTAATAATGAATAATTTTAGGCAACGTCACCACCTCAACCATCAGTAAGTAAGGCGGAGACAGTTGAGATGAACACTAGCAACACTAGCGTGAGTGAGAGAGGAGATAGTATGGGGGAAAAGGACAGAGATAGTGCATGGGAGAAGGACAGAAGCGAAAGTAGAGCTTCGTCTTCAACTTCGGCTGCAACGCTAACTAACGTAAGGAATTTTTGAAATAAATAAAAATTGCCATATGTTTAATTCATTGATTCAATATTGGGCTTTTATGTCAAGGTATCTGTTTGGGTTGGTGCAACTCTTTAACCAGATTTCTCTTTGTAGAAGAACACGCAGTATGATTACAGGCTGGAAGATCTTTCATCTTAATTGCCAGAAGTACTCATAAATAAACTACGAGAACTGTGGCTGTTTTGGTTGAAATTGCAAGTGTCCATGCCACATACATTACACACGATAGCTTAATGTCAATAACTTCTTATTTAAACCTTAAATATTTGAAATCATATTTTTATGAATTGTGCAAGTAAATAATCTTAAATAATAATTGGAGTATTTAAGTGTCTCGTCTAGTTGGGATGTATAAATATATATAAAAATGATAAACAAGATAAAATAAAGTAATAGTGAATATTGTAATATCAAAGATGCTCAAAATAAATTACCTTACATCGCGAAAAAACAAAGTTAACCTTTAACTGTCGATACTTATTTTTGTAACACTAGCATGGACATGGGATCTAAAAGACTCCTACATTGTTTAGGGTCATTTGATATTAATTGTACAAATAAACAATTAAAAAAGAATTTAGAATGGATGCTTGCATTGTAAATAATAAGATTTTAAATATATATGAGATATATTATTACAAAATACGAATAATTACAAAAAAATCAAGAAAAGGCACTTTTCAGTCTTAACTGGCACTGAGATCACTTAAAGTTCTATTAACCTTATTATTTATTTTAAAAATCAACGTTATTATATTTTTCCTTAAAATCTAATAAATTTTAAATTAAAAAAAGAACAATGTTCATTCTGAATTGAAAACTAAAAAACTGACAGAGGGTCAATTACCCTACAATTTTTTTTTATAGGATAGGGTGACAAACGGGCACACAGTTCACCTGATGGTAAGTGGTTACTGTGGTCCATAGACATCTACATCTATCCTCTTTTGCGAATCAAAATGCAGATGCGTTGTCACCCCTGAGGACTAAGATGGAATGCCTCTTTTCCAGTAAAAAGGGTCTCCGGTTCTCTACACTCACCATACGAAACACAGCAGCTTCATGCGTAAATATGTTATTCTAATGCCGGGTTTCCACGCTTGCCAAGTCTCGGCAAGCGTCTACAAGCACAAGTGTGTAAAGAGGGCGTTTGGCTTGGCTTGCGTGAGCTTGTGGACTCTTGTCACCGATCCGGGCTAGTGTCGGTTTTTGGACACAGATCAAAGGGCGCTTGCGGCAAGCGCTTGCAACGCATTCACACGTTGGTGCGCGTTTAGTAGAAATTGTGATTTCGCGATGAGCGCATGTTTAGTTCTTTGTTTAAAATGAGTGTCTGGTCGAACGAAGAGAGTTTATCTTTTCTGGAATATTACCAGACCGAATGGTCTATCTGGAACCCCAAAGACGTTAATCATAAAAATAAAAAGAAAGTTGCAAATGCTTGGAGTCGTCTTGCCGAGTAAACGGGAAAGCCAGTAAAAGAATTAAAAGCCAAAAATTCTTTGTTTTTGTATTACTTTGCTTGTATTTCAAATAAAACTATGTTAAACCAAACGCAATAGCCGACACGAGTTCGGTGTCCGTCGTGCTTGAATATACGTAGCACACTAACGCATTCACAAGCGTGTAAACAACTTCCAAACGCCAAACGTGATTTGTAGACGCTTGGGGCTTGAAGACGTTTGCCGAAGCTTGGCAAGCGTGGAAAGGCACCATAAGACATCAGCAAGTGCGAAAGGTCTGTGAGACCCCATGTCCACAATAAAAGGTTAAAATAATGTGTCTTACTCTTACCTAGTTTGAAGAACACCTCTCGCCCTACCTCAATTGCTTGCAATATTCCCATCAAGAGTAATCCTAACACCACTACCCCCAGTACCATATACAAACTCGGTAAGACAAATCATTTTTCTTTTAGTTTTACGTGGATCTTAGCCAATTTATTTATAACATCTTTAGTATAGTGGGTTTCCGCACTGTAACGCCTGATTCTATTAATCAAACTTAACAAAATTGTTTCAGGGTTGGTACTCCCCCGCTTTGAGCGGTGTGTCATCAGCCAGAATTCGAGACAACCCTAAATATACTAAAGAAACTTGCAATCGTAAACTATTGAAGTCAGACCTTAGTCTCACTTCCCACCCCGAAATGGAGATAGATTATTATGACTACGAAGTTAATAACGCAGGTAATAGCATTTTTATATTCAACCTATTAAACTAGTTCATATAAGTAAATAAAAAATAACATTTTATTTTAATTGTTGTAACAGAGTTTAATTTATAAATGAACGGATGTTTACTAATTATTGCAGGTTCTGTTCCTGGTTCGTATTTAGGAATGGATCCAGCTTTTTTAGTCTGGATACCCCCCATTGAGGATGGTGATATTATAAAAGAAATCGATGAAAACAAATCGCTTACATATGAGGTACTTTCATATTTTTATAACAAGATCATTATTATTTTATTACTTAATTAACGTATTAATAACCAAATAAATTTAAAAAATATATTTCTAGTTTTAACATAAACACATCTAAGTCGTACAAAAGAAATACCTTTTTTTATTTGTTTACAGGAGGTTATCCCAAAGGAGCTGCGTCCAGATCCAGGCAGCAACACCGAGTCACCTGAAGACCAGCCACCATCAAGTACTTTGAAAAGAAATGCAGACAATCGCACAAACAGATCCAACGAGTCCATAAAATCTATGAGGAAAGTCATGGACAGAGGGAATATTATACATCCGCTTAACTTCAGTATTAGTGACTTGCAACACTCGCCAAAAGTGACAAAGAAAAACAAAAGGAAAAAGGAAGAGAATCCCGTGTCAATACCGATGAAAGACCTGACACTTAACTTGTCACCAGTTAGAGTGCATAGGAGAGAGACCAAAAACGATTACGATAATTCGTCCACGCTGAAACGAGTGAATGACACGCCCAGAGAAACTAAAGATGATACTCTAAAAAGAACGGATGCCATTGATTTGAGATTCGCCGATGAAAATTCCGACTCATCTAATGACATAAAATTCGCAGATGATTCACCTGATAGCAATAGGCTAGCTGATAGGTATGAAGTTATAGCATAAGAAGCAAATTATCCAGAAATTTATGTAACGGAAGTAGGTTATCGTTAACCTAATTGTATGTATTAATCTATTATATATATTATAATGGTTCCCTAAAACAGTGACACTAATCATACATTTTGTATCATCTATATACTAAATTTCCCTTATTGGTACCGTTTACTTGCGTAGACATAATCCTTGGGTGTTGTTTTGTAGGTATATGGTCAAAAGAGTTACAAACTTGTTTGACTTAATAATAAATTTGGATATAGGATGATTCCCTTACCGTGAATCTCACCGGCTGGTGATTGCCAACGTGCGTAACTCCAAATAGTATAAAGTGGATATCCCTTTAGTAAAAGTGATACTTTAGAGCCTTTAGTCAAGTATAAGGACCAATCTCAATACACATAGCTATCAATTCCTCATCCCGGAAATCCATATTCTACAAAAAAGTTGATTCCGTATTCAAATTAAGCATAAGTATATAAACGAAAACAAATATTTTCCCGCTAACCAGTGTAGTCGAAACATCCGTCTTTGTCACACTATACGTCTATAAATAGCCGTCTCACCTTGCACTGTATATTTCCATACATTTAATTTGTTTTTATATTTAGAAGACTGACATTTTCGGGCAGTGCAATACTTCTAAATTTCTTTTTTTTTTAAATTAATTTACATCGTAGTAATAATTCTACATTTTTTTCTAATATTTTTCATTTAAAATTAGAAAGTGCTTATTGAAAAGCTTAAGAAAAAGAAAAAGATAAGATATTTGTTATAAAACGAAAATTACGTTTGGTGAATTATGTTTAGATAAGGAATGGAAGCAAAGAAAAACATCTAGAAATTTGAAACGGTTATTTACAATGAGAATGTGATAATGATTGTACTTAATTAATAGGATGATTAATTAAATCAGTTGTTGTATAAATGTTTCAAATTTATACAAAAATAAAACGGAAAATAAATCCATTAAGCCTTTTTCATTTGCTTACATAAAATACTTGTTAGTATATAATAATAAACTTTTATGTAGCGACATTAAAGGTTTATTCCTAATAGATTTTATAGCTATTATATTAAATTTTTTATTTGCATATGATTTAAGTTTATACGCGTTTGCTATAACCGACAGACGTCACAGTAAACATTTCATTATTTCTTAGTTCCCAACTTAACTCATTTACAACATAATTAATAGAATCAGGCGTTACTTTGCGGAAGTCCATTATATTAAAGTTGTTAAAAAATTACCTCGCGTACATCCGCTCGATAAAATAAAATGATGTGTCTTACCTAGTTTGAAGAGCACCTCTCGCCCTCCCTCAATTGCGTGCACTATCACCGTCACCACTAATCCCAGCACCACTACTCCCAACACCACTACACTAGGAAAGACACACCACTGACTATAATACTCTCATTGTAGTCGATTGACTACAACATTGTAGTCCATTGACTACAATACTGCATAGTGCACGCAATTGAGGGAGGGCGGGAGGTGCTCTTCAAACTCGGTAAGACATCATTTTATTTTATCGAGCGGATGTAAGCGAAGTAATTTTTTAACAACTTTATTCTTTTCATTTACAACATGGAAGTCTCAAATATTATTGATTTCTAGAAACCAAATTCAAATATGAACATGTTCACCGAATTTGTTATTTACCCGACTGTGGCGGAGTCTAAAATAATGGTACTTTAATAACAGGTTCTCATATACGACTCAAATATTTTTGTAAAATTTTATTTTATCTTTAAAGCATAATGTGAGCACTGTTGATGTACTGAAATAAATAAACAGTCGTTGAATCCCAACAAATCTCAATAAATTTATTATAATTGCGCAGGAAACAAAGACTGTATGACGTCAGCATAAAATAAATACGGCGAAAATAAAATGTTAACACATGTCAACCATATAATTAGTTACAAAATATTGTGTTTAAAACCAATTAATAATAATAGAATTAGTATGTTATGAAATACATCTTACATTAGTTGGCTCGCTGCAGTCGGGAGTACTATGTCTTTAATAATTATTTATTTTTTCATTTTGTTTTCTGGAATGGAGCAAAAGTGAATGCAACTATAGAAAGCTTTATTTGTTTCTAGTCATTTTTTGTTGTGTTATATAATTTTATCAAGCAACTTTTGTGTAATTATTTTATATTGTGGTTTGTGTAACTATGAAAACAAAATTAATTTATTATTATTAACATTATTAGTACTTATTTAAAGTGGTAGTAAATAAGCGAATGTTGTTCGATGTTTATGTTTAATTAAGTTGTCGCCAATAAAACAATTTATTTTAAAATTGACATTATTGTTTCATTTTTAACCACCATTAGACATAATACAGCCTATCAAAAGTTCACTTTTTTAAAGAAGAGGGGACTAACGAGCATGTTGACATGCGTGACAGTCGGTTTGGCAACCAAAGTTTTTTTTATTTTGCTACAACCGTAATATAGCTGCTACGTTGCTCTATCACGTAAAAATATTACGTAAAATTTCTTAAACATAATAAAATATATTGGATAACTAGCTGTGCCCCGCGGTTTCACAGCGTACGCGATATAAGGATTTTTCGGCGTTACTATTCCATACTTTAACATGAAAAAGTAGTTATTGTGACATAACTGTAATACCTTGACATATAGTATTGTAAACTTTTTAGTAGATATTGATATCTTCTATAAAACCGTAGTACACACTTTCTTATATTGTCAATAGTTTCCGAAGCGTTCGCAATATAAGGATTCTTTTTGGTATTTCTTTCACACATTGGGTTACAATAACGAAGTTTTAATAAGGATCCCTAACTTTATTGAAAATATTCTATATAATTAATAGAATCAGGCGTTACTTTGCGGTAATCCATTATATAAAAGCTTTTAGAAAAATATCCGCGTTATATAATAAAATGATGTGTCTTACCTAGTATGAAGAGCACCTCCCTCCCTCGGGGGGAGGGCGGGAGGTGCTCCTCCCTCGGAGGGAGGGCGGGAGGTGCTCTTCATACTAGGTAAGACACATCATTATATTATATAACGCGGATATTTGCGAAGTAAAAATTTTTCTAAAAGCTTTTAAATATTCTATAGCCTATGTTCATAACGGATAATGTATGATTCTAATGCTGAAAGAATTTTTCAAATCGGTCCAGTAGTTTCAGAACCTATTCAATTCAAACAAACAAACAAACAAATCTTTCCTCTTTATAATTTTAAGATGTAGATGTTTAACAGTGTTTTACGTTTATTTTTTTTTGTATGTTAACAAGGGGCAAAATCAAATTTTTTTACAATCGACTTCAATATAAATTATTAAGAATAACTCAAAAACTACTAGTCAGATCTTGATCACATTTATGTGAGAACCACATGAAAACACCGGCTTGCAAATAAATTTGGATATTGGCATTTTATGTGGTAGAGCCATGCTGCAGCTATTTTAGTAGTATAGTTGTAGCACGAATGGGTCGGTTCGACCGGGGAAAGACCGCGCTCTCACAGAATACCAGAGTAAAATGGCAGCTTCACACTGCTGTGTTTCGTATGGTGCGTGTAGGAGAACTGGAGACCCATTTCACTGGAAAAGAGGCATTCCATCTTAGTCCTCACGCGTGGCGACGCATCTGCATTATGGTTCTTTACTGAAGACAGATGTAGATGTCTATGGATCACAGCGCCCACTTACCATCAGGTAGACTGTGTGCTCGTTTGTCACCCTATCCTTTAAAAAAATATTTTTTCAAATCGGTTTTGGCGTCTTCGAGTAAGCGGTGAACATACATAAAAAGATTTCGATGAATTGAGAACATCCTCCTTTTTGAAGTCGGTCAAAAATAGAAATCGAAATCTGACGACAACAACCTTCGTCGTCGTGTTATTCTGTAAGTGGCTATTAGTAAGCAATTTTGTGATATAACTGTCAATGGGGTGATAAATTGGGAAATGGGGGCTTTTATTGAATTTGCAACGTTAGCAGATTACGCTAAATAGGATTGCTTGCGTGAAAAAAGGGTACTGAAGAGTTATATTATTATAGATGTATAGTGTAGTTTATATCATTTTATAAATATTACACACAGTTTTGATATGTAGGAAGAATAAATGAGGAAGGAGTGACTAAAGAAATTGTCACTCTTTCTTCATTACATAAACACAAAAACTGAATTAGGAAAGAATAAGAGAATACATTACCACATAAAATCCCGTGTATCGTAAGAAGTGATAGAGGCAAATGAAACATGAGATGAACATCACTACTTTCTGATGACAACACTAAATAATAAAACAACGTTGGCAACGCACCTGCTAGGTGTTACCACTACAGCCTACTAAAGTCGACTGCCGAACATAAACCTTCCCCATAGATTGCCTCATAGGGGGATATTTTCCAGGGGGTTGGCTACCGCAGTTATTATTTTTAAATTTGTAGTTATTAGGAAGACGCTGCTGCCCATCTCCTGATTTGTTTACCTGTGTCATCTTTTACGACACCCACGGGATAATATGTAGTAGTGGATATTTCTTATACATAAGCCACAACAAGGTATTTTAAGACAAAAAATATTGAAAAATAAAAATTTTTGAGCGTCATTATTAGACATAGCATAATAATCCTAAAGAACGAAAGTTACGTCATAATCAAGACAATTTTATCAAGATAAACTTTCCTCTTTATAGCATTTTATTTGGACATTGAGTTTAAGAGATAATGAAAATTTAAAATAATTCAACACTCGGCTCGACGCGTGAACAACGCATAATCCTATCCGCCCGATAAGAAACCTAGAGAAAGCATCAGTGAACGTGAAAATAAGCGAGATGTCATGTCACGCGGCTCCAATGCGTGATATACGCGGGTGAAACCGCGGGGCACAGCTAGTATCGAATAAGAATCGATAATATTCTAAAAGTTACGACTAGTTTTCCGCTTTGGAGTTTGTCTGGGTAGGTACCACCCATTTACCTACTTCTGCTGCTAAATAATATGTCCTCCCG